AAGTGCAAGGAGATAAATAGGTACCGCTCCGGCAGGAAGGTAAACGGCATTTCCGTGCGCTGCTCTGGTTCGCCAGAAGCGGCTTAGTCCTGCTGGCCACATGACCCGGAAGCTGTACGCCGGCTCCCTCGGCCAATAAAGCGAGATGAGCGCCGCAAACCCAGAGTTGTCTGCGACTGGACCTAACGGTCAGTGGTCCCTTTACCTATGTACTCATTGCAACCACACACACACACACACACACACACACTATAAAAGCAGTTTATAAATGCTTTTTAAACTGGACCTTGGACCTGCAAAACTCTGCCCCTGAGCCCTTGAGCTTAAAACTGGGCTGCTGATATTGGAAGGCGGTTTGCTCAAGAGTCTCCCGACTGGCCCTGCTGAAAAGCTTTGCTTTGGCAAGAATAAATTTATCTCTATAAAAAAATAAATAAACAAATAACAAAGAGCCCTCTCAGTCTATTCCCTTTGGGACTGACCCAGATTTCTATTTTAAAATCCAGAACAGCCTAGAAAACTGGACACAACAACACGTAACTCATTACCTGGGTATGTTAACGGACAGACAGACAGACAACAGACAGAGGGACCCCCCCCCACAAAAAAATCTAGCGTATGATATAATAGGGGCATTATACAGATTGACAATAAGAATGGCTGTTCAAAATGAAGCAGGCAGGAAGGCCCCTCAAGGACTCTGTACCGGCTCTGGAATACTCCATAAGGGAAAGGGAGCAGTTTTTTCATATAACATTATTACAGTGGTACCTAAGGTTACATACACTTCAGGTTACAGACTCCGCTAACCCAGAAATAGTACTTCGGGTTAAGAACTTTGCTTCAGGGTGAGAACAGAAATTGTGCAGTGGCAGCATGGCAGCAGCGGGAGGTCCCATTAGCTAAAGTGGTGCTTCAGGTTAAGAACAGTTTCAGGTTAAGAACAGACCTCTGGAATGAATTAAGTACTTAACCCGAGGTACCACTGTATTAAGGAATGTCCCTATTTTCCTTGGAGAAATGTTGGAGGGTATGAGAGGGCAGTTTCTCCCCGGCAGAAAGAGCATGTGGCAGCTAGACTGACAACTGGGAGCGGCCGCCGAGACCACATAACACTGGTCCTGAAAGACCTACATTGGCTCCCAGTACATTTCCGAGCACAGTTCAAAGTGCTGACCTTCAAAGCCCTAAACGGCCTCAGTCCAGAATACCTGAAGGAGCGTCTCCACCCCCATCGTTCTGCCCGGACACTGAGGTCCAGCTCCGAGGGCCTTCTGGCGGTTCCCTCCCTGTGAGAAGCCAAGTTACAGGGAACCAGGCAGAGGGCCTTCTCGGTGGTGGCACCCGCCCTGTGGAACGCCCTCCCACCAGATGTCAAAGAGAAAAACAACTACAAAACTTTTAGAAGACCTCTGAAGGCAGCCCTGTTTAGGGAAGCTTTTAATGACTGATGTTTTAATGTAATTTTTGTTTGGAAGCTGACCAGAGTTTTATAATTGTTTTCAGTAACAGGAGTATGTTGTTAGCTATATTATTAAATGATGTTAGCTATACAGTGGTGCCCCGCAAGACGAATGCCTCGCAAGACGGAAAACCCGCTAGACGAAAGGGTTTTCCGTTTTGGAGGTGCTTCACAAAACAAATTTCCTATGGGCTTGCTTCGCAAGACGAAAATGTCTTGCGAGTTCCTGCAGGGTTTTTCCCTCCCCCCCCCTTTTTCCCAAGCCGCGAAGCCGCTTATCAGCTGATCCACTAAGCTGCTAAGCCGCTTAACAGCTGATCGCTAAGCCGCTTATCAGCTGATCCCCTAAGCCGCTAAGCCGCTTATCAGCTGATCCGCTAAGCCCGCTAAGCCGCTAATAGCGCTAATCCGCTAATGGGCTTGCTTCGCAAGACGAAAAAACCGCAAGACGAAGAGAATCACGGAACGGATTCTTTTCGTCTTGCAAGGCACCACTGTATTAATTTTGTTGTTTCTTATATTGTGGTTGTTTGTTTGACTTTTCTATTATTTGTTTGATTGATTATATGTTGGTTTATTTGTTTGTTTGTCTGTTTTCCCATAAATGTGTTTATTTTCAATCAATAAAGATATACTAAAAAACAAAACAAAGAGACCAGGACCTTTGGCTCCCAGTTCCCCGTTCCTTCTGCAGTTGCTGCAACCCACATTGCAGGAGTCGCCCCTCCCCAGGGAGCCCAGCCTGCAGCAAGAGCCAGGAGCAAAAAAACCAAAACAACCTTCTGGGCATCCTCTCCCCTTTCTAAAAAAAGAACAACCTCCTCAGCTGACTCTGCTGCTTTCTGAGCAGAGCTGGAGGTTTTGAAGGGGACCTTGCCCTGGCGCAGGTTGTCTCTATATTTAGCTGCACCGCATGAACGTCAAGCGAGCGGCCGCAGCTGCGTGGCGCTCTGGGCCTGGCCTGAGCCTGGCTTTTCCGCTTCTGCCTGCCTGCGGCCTCACAATGGGAATCGCTGATCGTGGCTGCTGCGTCACCTGCCCTCCAAGTGACCTCAGGCCAGGCTGGACCGGGACATTCGCAGGGAAAGCAAAATGCTTGTTTACAAACCCCTCTGCAGCGCCACAAAGCCAACTCAATGGTGTAACATTGGAAAATGTCAATCACTTCTCCTACCTGGGCAGTTATCTTTCCACAAGGGCCGACGTTGATGCCGAAATTCAGCACTGCCTGAGCTCTGCGAATGCGATTTTCTCCCGACTGAAGTGCAGAGTGTTTGACGACCGGGATATTCGCAGGGAAACCAAAATGCTTGTTTACAAAGCTATTGTACTACCAACCTCACTGTATGCTTGTGAAACACGGACCACTTATAAACGCCATCTCCAACTCCGTGAAAGATTCCATCAACAGTGTCTCCGATCATTTTTACACATCACTTGGGAAGACAGGTGAACTAACGCCAGTGTACTGGAAGAAGCAAAGATCCCCAGTGTCACAGCAATGATTCTTCAACATCAACTTCGTTGGACTGGTAATGTTGTGCGGATCCCTGATGATCGTCTTCCAAAGCAACTACTCTATTCCGAACTTAAAAATGGAAAGTGTAATGCTGGTGGTCAACAAAAGAGGTTCAAAGACAGTCTCAAGGCAAATCTTAAAAAATGTAGTATAAACACCAGCAATTGGGAAGCCCTGGCCTGTAAGTGCTCCAATTGGAGAACAGCCTTTACCAAAGATGTCATGGGCTTTGAAGACACTCGAACTCAGGACGCAAGGGAGAAACGCGCTAAGAGGAAGGCACACTTGGTAAATCCACACCGTGATCAACTCCCACCTAGAAACCTGTGTCCCCACTGTGGAAGGACGTGTGGATCCAGAATTGGCCTCCGCAGTCACTTACGGACTCACTGTTAAAATCGTGTTTATGGAAGACAATCTTACTCGGCTACGAGGGATCGCCGAAGTAGAAGAAAGAAAGTTAAAAGTCATCTTTACCTGCTTCACACCTGCCTTGAATCGTTAACATGATTATTATAAGCCCCTCCTTCCATGACCAGGAAGCTGCAAGGCAGGTCACAGCGATGCAAAATGCAACACGTTTGAAACAAGTTAAAACAAATTTGATATGGCATGTTGGGTCTAGGGCAGCTGTGTGTGACCCAAACAAATCTGGGGCAAATTTGGCCCAAAGCCTGGAGACTCCTCAGTCCTGTACTGAGGGCCAGGTGAGAGTCCCAGAGGTGTTTGGCCTTGGATTTTAGGAGATATGACCATTGTTCCTGGTCTGGCAACCTTTTTTTTCTCTCCCTGGCAACTTCCCCCAAATCATAGTCGCACCAGCAGCGTATCTCTTCTTTGTCGTATCTAAAAATGCAAGAAGGGCTTTTACACTCGCCAGAAGCTCGGCTCTGCCCTCACCAGTCCTGGAAGGAGCCTTTAAAGAAGTCCCATATGCTCAGAGACTTTGCGCCTGTTCATTGGGGGAGATAGGAAGCCCAGAGCACTTGTTCTTTAGATGTCCCTTTTATAGAATCATAGAGTTGGAATAGACCACAAGGGCCATCGAGTCCAACCCCCTGCCAAGCAGGAAACACCATCAGAGCACTCCTGACATGGTTGTCAAGCCTCTGCTTAAAGACCTCCAAAGAAGGAGACTCCACCACACTCCTTGGCAGCAAATTCCACTGTCAAACAGCTCTTACTGTCAGGAAGTTCTTCCTAATGTTTAGGTGGAATCTTCTTTCTTGTAGTTTGGATCCATTGCTCCGTGTCCGCTTCTCTGGAGCAGCAGAAAACAACCTTTCTCCCTCCTCTAGATGACATCCTTTTATATATTTGAACATGGCTATCATCTCACCCCTTAACCTCCTCTTCTCCAGGCTAAACATGCCCAGCTCCCTTAGCCGTTCCTCATAAGGCATCGTTTCCAGGCCTTTGACCATTTTGGTTGCCCTCCTCTGGACACGTTCCAGTTTGTCAGTGTCCTTCTTGAACTGTGGTGCCCGGAACTGGACACAGTACTCCAGGTGAGGTCTGACCAGAGCAGAATACAGTGGCACTATCACTTCCCTTGATCTAGATGCTATACTCCTATTGATGCAGCCCAGAATTGCATTAGCTATGAAGAGGCCCGTAGTGAGACCATTGATCCCCGGCTTTTGAGGCTCGCTGACCTCCCGGAAATGCAAAAATAAACCTTTTCCTGTTAGGCAAAGATCATAAGACGACCCGGATGGTCACCAGATTCTGTGTACAGATCTGTAGGCGCAGACCATCACCTGACCCAAACTAGTTCGTTAAGAAAATCCCCAAACTCGGTTCTATGAGTGACTCTGGGTCATCTCTCTGTGGTAGTTTATTGTTGTACATTGTTTTAATTGTTTGTTTTCCTTCTGTGACTGTACCCCCAAGTGTGTTTTATAAGCTGGTCTCCGACTGTAATAAATTATCTATCTAGTCCCCCAACTCAGTGCGGGGCAGGTTTCCCATAAGCAGCAGAAACAAGGTGGGTGGGAAGGGGGGAAAAACCCACAGCAATTTCGCTTTCTAGATTGCTTTTATTTATCAATGTACAGAAACGAAACCCACAGGCTTGAAAGCCACCAATAACACCCTTAACATAAAAGACCCCCCCAACCTTCTCTCCCCGACAAAACACCACAAACCATTAATAAAATAAATAAGACAAGGGGCAAGTCTGAGCTGGGGGGGAGAGGGCTGGCTGCTTTGAGGAGGCCAGAGGTTCCCCCTCCTCCCCCTGCTTTGCCCACATAAATAACATTTCAATGTAGAAAAAAATTAATAATAATAATAATGACAGATAACAGAAAAAAGCTGTGTTGGCTGATGAGCTGGGTTAAGAGAAGTAGACTGTTTGTAAACAGCTGGATGGAAAACACCTGGAATCTGCCAGCCTCAAGGTTTAGCAAATGCTGTTTCCACAACCAAGGGCCCGAAACATTTGATTCCTAAAAGGTGCCAGGGCTCACTCTGGCTGCCGGGTGCCCACTATGACCTGCAAGTTCAAACTGCAACAACCCCTGCCCCCTTTCGGTTCCTCTGCAGGACTTAGAATGGTAGCGTTGGAAGGGACCCCAAGAGTCATCTAGTCGACCCCCAGATTAGCAGTAGAAAATCGAGACGCAGCCTGTTTCCTAGCCTGCCGTTTTAGGAACCCAGAGAGAGCATGTTTCTAAGGTGTTACCTGCCCCGCACGCTGAGGTCTAGCAACATGGCTAAGCCCATTAGGGCACCTTTAGCTTGTACACATTGCCCAAGGGTAAATTTGAATGTGTAGACTACATTTTGGTTGTTGATCTCGCTGGCTCTTGTTTATAGTGTCTGTTTAAAATCGGAAGCTCATATTTAATGCTTGTTCTGCTCTTTATTTTAATCCAAAAGTGGGGATCTTCTAAATCAAGAGAAAAAGAAAGAACGTGGAATTCAGTTTCTGGAGATGTTGCTTTGCTTCTCCTTTCAGAATGACAGAACCCTTTTCTTTCTTTTTCAAGAGCAAGTGTCTAGTCCTCATTGCTGTCAAAGTGTGGGAAAGCCTGCTAAGAAGCCAGAGGGGATTCTTAAACGAGGCTTTCAGCACTCTCTCAAGCCCCGCTTCCCTCGCACCTGGCCCAAGCAGTAGAAATTAATCGGAGGAAGAGGAAATCACGCAAATTGGAATGAGCTACGTTTTTATCCCGGCCACCATTTTCTCCATGCAGAACCTTTAAACATTGAGCATTGCTAAACCCGCACGCATATGCATGCGCACTCTCTGGTAATGCAGTGGTGGGGAACCCACGGCTCTCCAGAAGTTGTTGGAGACCCCCAGCTCCCAACTGCCCCCGCCAAAATGATCCAGGGACACTAGAAGCTGGAATCCAGGCATGGCCAAAGTCGTCTCTCCCTGACGGAGAGGGGTTGCTCTTTTTGGAACAGAGAGGGATTCTTTGGTTGCTGGTTTCTACCTCCAGAAGCTGGGAGACTAAGAGGAGAAGAAGGGGGCTTTCTCCTGCTTGCGAGCTTTCTAGAGGCGTCCGGGTTGCAGGGGGTCAGACTGAATGACCCCTATGGATCCTTTCCAACTCTACCATTGCAATGATTCTGCGCCTGGAGACTAGATGGAACTATTCCAGAAATGTCTGCACAGTCTTGGGACTTCCCAGGACCAAGGCGGCGAACCCAGGTGCGTTAACAGGTGATGCGAGATGAAAGGACCAGGTGGGGCGAAAGCAAGACCTTACCTGCATACCTGTTTCCTGGGAGGAAAGACCTCCTCCCACCTCCTTGTGTTCCCAAACATGGGAACAACGTTTGCTCACAAAGAGGCCCTTTGATTCCCTTCGACTCTACCATCCTACGATTCGATGGGCACGATCCATGAGAAAGGCTCTCCAGCCCCACCGATGTGGCCGGGGACCAGACAAGCGCTCGAGCCTGCAACCCTATGTATGCGTTTACTTGGGTGTAAGTCCCATTGAATTCATCAGGGATAACTGCTGAGCAGACAGGTGCTGGGTGGCAGGGTTAATGGCGTTTGCATGGAGGGGCTTCCCAGCGGATCAGGCCCCAAGGGCGTTTCCAGACACACACAAAAACAAGCGCTCTCTTTCGGTCGGTACCAGGAGAGCAATAGATTGCTTTCTAAATAAAGCCCCCCCCCATTAAAATGAGGGCGAAATGAGGGAGCCAGGAGCTGGGCGACACCATTGATGCTTGCATCTTGTGGGGGTGCGCATGACATTGGAGGAAACCCGTTTCATAACTGCACTAAGCTACCATAATAGCTACTTAGGGGGCAGGTGGGGAATCGTAGGGATGAACGCCCCTCCTCCCCCAGTGGCAGAAAGGTGTGCTGTAGTGTCAAGTCTAGGACCCGGGAGACCAGGGTTCGAATCCCCACTCAGTCCACTGGGTGACCTTGGGCCAGACCTCCCTCTCAGCGTGTTTTGAGTCTAATACGGGTGGAGATGAACCACGTTTGCCCCCTTCACTTCCTGGGAGGAAAGGCACGATACAACACAAAGAAACTAAAGCAAATATTGCTGGTTTGGTGCTGAGAAAACCCTATGCCCTCACGACCGGATCCTGTACAGCGGCTTGGGAAAGCGAAAAACTTCTAAAGCATCTATTTCCTCTGCAGCAGAATTTGGCCCTGTGTTAGATCTATGGAGGATTTTCGCCCCTGGGGGGGGGAAAAACAACCCCCAAAAAACTATTTTTTCACTGTTCAGAAGCCTACCCAGCCTGGCTGGCGCTAGAGAGCTGATTCCATGCCATGTAAACAAAAGCGCACATGTAGTGGTATTCCAAGTTTGGAGGCCAAAGGGAGCCCCTTCCCTAAAGCCCCCACTGCGTTGCTTCCCTTAGGTCCTTGCGCAAGGGGGGAGAAGGGCAGCGGAGAGTCTTTGCAATGCCAAGGGTGTCCTCCAGAGTTCGACTCTCCAGGTGGCACGGACGGCGTTACACCCATGGAGGGCCTGCCCCATGGCTCTGCTCCAGGATGCTGGCGGTTTCCCAAGAGCAGTGGGGGGGGGGAACAAGGGCAGTCCTTCACCTTCTTCAGCGCCCAGCGCTCGCAAGCCTCGGGTGATGGCTGTTTGGCCGGAGGCCTCCCCTTGATCCAATGTCCCATCTGCGTCGCGGCGGCTTGGAGTCAGATGATCACCTGCAAAGGTGGGAGACAGGACGGTGAGGTCGGCGGGAGGCAAATGGCGGAATTTGGCCCTCCTTGAAATGGTACCTTGCGCAGTCGTAACCTCGGAAGTCGAACGGAATCTGTTCCGGAAGTCCGTTCAACTTCTGAAATGTTCGGAAACCAAAGCGCAGCTTCCGATTGGCTGCAGGAAGCTCCTGGAGCCAATCGGAAGCCCCGTCAAACTTTCGGCTTTCAAAAGAACGATAGAAAACCAGAACACTCACTTCTGGTTTACGATTGTTCAGGAGCCGGAACGTTCGACTCCCAAGACGTTCAGGAGCCGAGGTACCTCTGGATACAAATGGGATCCATTCCGGAGCCCCATTCACATCCTGAAGTAAACGTAAGACGCGACTGCGTGTCTGCTGCGTTACTTCCGGGTTGCCGCAGAGCGCAACCCGAAAATACTTAACTTGAAGCTACTTCAACCCGAGGTATGACTGTATACGCTAGAAATCTCTAAAGCAGAGTTTCCCAAATTTGGGTCTCCAGCTGTTTTTGAACTACAATTCCCATCATCCCTGACCTCTGGTCCTGCTAGCTAGGGATGATGGGAGTTGTAGTCCAAAACCATCTGGAGAACCAAGTTTGGGATACACTGACCCAAAGGGCAGAGCTTGAATGACCATTCCCTGCCCCCTATATATGGCATCACTGTGTGTCATTTTAGGGGGTGAAACTTAACACTTGCAAATTTCTTCAGTGAGGGGGTCTTCAAATATGTTTCTGGGTGTGAGGGATTCAAATCTGCTATTATTTTTGTGCCTGGACAGGAGTAGCTTGGCAAGTCTACGTTTGGTAAAGAAGCCCACTGCTTTCGGAAAACCAAAGAACTTTTATTTCGCCTTCTGAAAATGTTAGGCAATGCTGAATAATAATAACTAAAATAATATTAGTATATAATAAAGCTGCAAGCACTTGGCAATTGTTTTCAGTGACTCCCATGCAACTTTACCTACAGAGCAAACCTAAATTATATTAATTTAACCAAAATACCTTTTGAATCACGTTACAACTTTTTAGCAGCCTTCATTTTTGGAATTTCAAAGTTAAAAAATTCAACATGCCTTAATAAGGCATGATTTTATTTCTCACACAAATACTGCGGCATTTTCAGTGCCACCAATATAAACAGATGTCTGGCTCATAGAACCTTTGTTCTCAGTCATAATGGAACTCACAAGTGGAGAATACTATTATTTTTATAAATTGTTATTATTTGTAAAGAGAATTTTTGTATGAGTTAATTAATACTTTATTTATTATCTGTATAGCCCTTTCGATCTGCGCTATAACATGGTATTTTTGTCCCTCCAGGCTGTGGCGCTTTTATGGCTTAAATGCCTGACTAGACGTTTCTTTCCTTTATGTTCTGCTTGCAACTTTTTTGGCACATAAATTAACATTTTAAAAAAGGAAGCTAATGCTAGAAATCCACAGAGGAAAGGAAAGGCGGAGAAGAGGGAAGAGCTGAACAGATTTGCCTCGCAGGTCACCCAGGGCAACTTGAACGTCTGAATATTCGACAAGCATTTGCCATAAGAGGACTTGCCAGCTGACATGCAAAAGTACGTTTTTCTGCTAATTCCACCCCTTCCTTTAACCCCTTTAATAGGAGACTTGTACCAAGGCAGCCCAATCTACTTGCCTTCCACACTGAGATTTTACTGTCCGTGTCGAATAAAAGGTAAAGGGACCCCTGACCATTAGGTCCAGTCGTGGCCGACTCTGGGGTTGCGGTGCTCATCTCGCTTTTTTGGCCAAGGGAGCTGGTGTACAGCTTCCGGGTCATGTGGCCAGCGTGACTAAACCGCTTCTAGCAAACCAGAGCAGCGCACGGAAACGCCGTTTACCTTCCCGCCAGAGCGTTACCTATTTATCTACTTGCACTTTGACGTGCTTTCGAACTGCTAGGTGGGCAGGAGCAGGGACCGAGCAACGGGAGCTCACCCCGTCGTGGGGATTCGAACCGCTGACCTTCTGATCAGCAAGCTCTAGGCTCAGGGGTTTAGACCACAGTGCCACCTGCGTCCACTTATTGTTGTGGTGGATGTGCCAAATTGGCCACAGCCCCATCTCAAACTTGGAGTTAGCCCTACAACTAAGGCTACCACCTACCCGGAACTGTGGTGTTTGAATTTGGCCTAAAGGTCTGAAGTGCCCCCATGGAGATAGCCAGTGGGAGAGGGGTGTTGAAGGGCAATTATTCTTAACTAATAATATTGGATAGGATTGTATGGGGCAATGATGGAGTCCTGTCAGCAGGTCTCTGATCTGGCGCACGGAGGACCGTGACGAGTGCCAGAATGCACGGAAACGCCGTTTACCTTCCCACCGGAGTGGTACCTATTTATCTACTTGACTTCGACGTGCTTTCGAACTGCTAGGTTGGCAGGAGCAGGGACCGAGCAACGGGAGCTCACCCCGTCGTGGGGATTCGAACCGCCGACCTTCTGATTGGCAAGCCCTAGGCTCTATGGTTTAACCCACACTGCCACCCGCGTCCCACAGATAGTCGCAACCAATGCCTAAGCAACCACTCACATTGCTTGTATTTTAATAAAATTGTGGCCAAAAATCTGAAACAAAATTATGTGTAAATTGTGTTTTTATTGGTGGGTGTCTTGGGGACCTCGACATGCAAGTAAACCCCACCAGAAAGCAGCTTCTCAGCCGCTTTCTATTTGCCTAGAATGGCGCCCCCAGGTAACCTGTAAAGTAGAAAACAAAGCCCAGCACAGCCCGAAGCACCAGAACTGAATAAGACGACCAGAAGCAAAAGCTACATGGGACTTGGCAGCTGACCCATCACCCCTGAAAAGCAGGGAGCTAGAAGCTGGCGGATTACCTTCAGATAACCAGGTTGCTCTCCCCGAGCCTAACAGTGATCGGGCTGTCCTGGAAAACGAACGAACGAGGCTGCAGTCAGAGCTGGTGTCTGTGTGCTCTCCACCCCTGTCCCCCCAAACAGGTGAGGATCCGGGGCTGCAGCACAGTGCAGGATTTACGTATAAGCTAAACAAGCTCTAGCTTAGCTCCCCACTCTCTTGGGGCCCCCCAAAAATTAAAGGGAAAAAACCTGGATGTACATTTCCAAAATATAAGATAAAAAACAAATAAAATAAAAGCTACACGCGGCAACAGTGTTTTGTGTTGTGTAGGCTCCTGTGATGTAAGTCACGGGCCCCGCCTGCTAGCCTGCTCCCTAAAATATCACTGGTTTGCTCATTTCTATATATAGGGTGCCTACATTCTGCTATTTATCATTATTAGTAGTTTGCATCCTATATTTACACCTATTATTATTTCATGTTACAGCACATTTCTAGACTAGACTAGATAATGAGCCTTTGTAAATTGTGTTTCTAAAGGAACTTTTGTGTTTGCATTATTAAATTTGTTACGAATAAAAAAAATCATTATACGTTAATAATTATTTCAATATTAATATTTTTTTTAATTGTATTTCAGTTCAGCAATTACTTTGATAAAATAATAATAATACTGATTTATTATTTGTACCCTGCCCATCTGGCTGGGTTTCCCCAGCCACTCTGGGCGGCTTCCAACAAAGATGAAAAATACATTAAATTGTCACACAGTAAAAACTTCCCTGAACAGGGCTGCCTTCAGATGTCTTCTAAATGTTAGGTAGTTGTTTATCTCTTGGACATCTGATGGGAGGGTGTTCCACAGGCCGGGTGCCACCACCGAGAAGGCCCTCTGCCTGGTTCCCTGTAACTTGGCTTCTCGCAGGGAGGGAACTGCCAGAAGGCCCTCGGCACTAGACCTCAGCGTCCGGGCTGAATGATGGGGGTGGAAACGCTCCTTCAGGTCTACTGGGCCGAGGCCGTTTAGGGCTTTCACGGTCAGCACCAACACTTTGAATTTGCCCGGAAACTTACTGGGAGCCAAGGTAGGTCTTTCGGTACTGGTGTTATGTGGTCCTGGCGGCTGCTCCCAGTCACCAGTCTAGCTGCCGCATTCTGGATTAATTGCAGTTTCCGGGTCACCTTCAAAGGTAGCCTCACGTAGAGCGCATTGCAGTAGTCCAAGTAGGAGATAACCAGAACATACACCACTCTGGCAAGACAGTCTGCGGGCAGGGAAGGACTCATCCTGCGTACCAGATGGTGCCGGTAGACAGCTGCCCTGGACACAGAATTGACCCACACCTCCATGGACAGCTGTGAGTCCAAAATGACTCCCAGGCTGCACACCTGGTCCTTCAGGGGCACAGTTACCCCGTTCAGGACCAGGGAGTCCCCCACACCCGCTTGCCTCCTGTCCCCCCAAAACAGTACTTCTGTCTTGTCAGGATTCAACCTCAATCCAGTAGCCACCATCCATCCTCCAACCGCCTCCAGACACTCACACAGGACCTTCACCGCCTTCACTGGTTCTGATTTAAAAGAGAGGTAGAGCTAGGACTAGGACTAGAACTTCCCTTGACCTGGACACTAGATTTCTGTGGATGTAGCCTAGAATAACATTCATTTCTCTCTTTCTCTCTCTCTCTCTCTCTCTCTCTCTCTCTCTCTCTCTCTCTCTCTCTCTCCATCCTGCAACCGAGAGAGCAAAAGGCAGAGCTAAAGGACACACTTCCAGCCAGACCTGCACTCTCAAGGAAGGCGTGAATCTGGGTCAGTGAGGGGCGTGGCCTGGGGAGAGGGGCGTGGCCTGGTCAGGCAGTGTGGCATGAGGACAGTCCTGAGGGCCAGGCAGGAAGACTCGGAGGGCCGCATTTGGGCCCTGTGCCAACCCCTTGTTTGTGATTTAATGGTTACTTTTCTTTAAAAGGGTGTCCGAGCCAATCTGGGTCACCCGGCCTTCTAGAAGATGATACGAAAAAAAGAAAGGATTGTGAATTATTTCTATATGCAATGACGGCAGCAAGAATATTATTGGCACAAAACTGGAAGCAAGAAGAACTACCGACAAAAGAAGATCAGAGGATGAAACCGATGGACTATGCAGAATTAGATAAATTAACAGGAAGAATTCGAAATCTGCGGGACCAGAGATTCACAGAAGACTGGGATAAATTTACGGACTATTTGGAAAGTAATTGTGATGATCAGATTACGCTTGTAGGTTTGCGAGAAGTTTTGTAAGGTGGACTATTTGAAATATTGAAAAAAACAAAAAAGGTAACGAGGGGGAATGTTAGTTAAGATAATTAAAGGCAATAGGAATTTAAGAAATGCAGAATAAGTGAGCGGAGGACCATCAGAGGGGCTGAAGGAAGTCCAAAAATATTGTATAAGAAGTGAAGTTTTGTTGTAGGAATGATAATTATTATGTAAAAATTAATAAAAAATTATAATTAAAAAAAACCGGCCTTCTACGGCTTAAGACTCTGTACGAAAGACACTCTGCACGTGGACAGAGGGACTGAGTCAGCATCTGCTTAGAAAGGAAAACATAATCCTAGCTACGGCTATCACCGAAAGGGAGCTGTTTCTTCTGAGGTCCAAAAGGGCTATATAGGGCGATGCTCTGTGTACCCATCACCGCCACCCAGGTGGGCAGGGCAGACTGGCGCTTGGAATTCAGGGGGAAGGGGTTCAGCTGTGGACCCTCCAAGGACAAAAAGCTCATCATGAAGAGATTTGGGAACCTTGCAGGAAGCAGCCGTTCCAGAGAGCGAGGGAGGCGTACGTAAGAATATCTCCGTCTCCTTTTGAGCCGCTCTCCACACAGCTTCCTCGGACTCGCACCCCCAGCCTGAAGCTAAGCGCCTCTCTACAGGCTCCTCTTTGCTGCTCCGGAAATTGCACGGCATTTAATTTGTGCGATAACACTCCAAACGGTGTCACGGGCGATTCAGCTTGGCTGGCAGCAAAGCTCCTCTCTCTCTCTCTCCCCAAGCGTCGGCCTTAGTCATTTCTTGTTTTGCAAACTAGGCTGTCTGTGGCAAACGTCAACAGAATTACAGGTCACCTACTTCTGCCACAGTGGAGGTTCTGGGCAGCTCATGAGATTCTGGGCATGGGAGGAGAGCTGGACCTCCCCGGACCTCAGACAGGCATAGGCAAACTCATCCCTCCAGATGTTTTGGGACTACAACTCCCATCATCCCTGACCACTGGGGTCCTGTGAGCTAGGGGATGATGGGAGTTGTAGTCCCAAAACATCTGGAGGGATGAGTTGGCCTATGCCTGAGCAAGGACCTCCCCTCTTTCTCCTTGTTGTGCTTCTCTGAGGTTTTACTGCATCAGCTGCCCAAAGGATGGGAACCTCAGGCTCAGGGGCAAAAAGTGGCCCTTGCAGGCCTCTCCACCTGGCCCTTGGGACTCTCCTCAGGCCACGCCCCTGAGGAGGTCGACTTCGCACTCAGTGCAGATATTTTTGTTGAGTTTGAAGAGCAATGATGGCTTAGAATGGGGTTTCTGTGCATGCAAAAAATCAAACCCACCCAACAAGCTCGAGCATAAGACTCTAAATCTCAGGGTTGTGGGTTCGAGTCCTGGGTTGGGCGAAAGATTCCTGCATTCCAAGGGGTCAGGCTAGATGACCCCTGTGGTCCCTTCCAACTCCACAAGTCTATGGTTCTTTGATTCCTGCTGTGCAAAGGCAACATTTCCATCCACTTTTGCCTCTGGGGCCAGCGTGTGGCCCCCAGAACCATGTCCAGAAGGCAATGTGGCCCCCAGCTTGACAAAGCTTCCTTGCCTCTGATCCACACCACCAATGGGGAACCCAGGGCCCTCCAGATGTTGCCATTGGTCACGCTGACTGGGGTTAATGGAAGTTGGGAGCCCAACAACTTTGAAGAGGGTTGGACTAGATGACCCTGGGGTCCCTTCCACCTCCACAATTCTATGGTTCTTTGACACTTGGAGGGCCACAGGTTTCCTGCCCCAGGGGATCAACACTGTGGGTAAATCTGGGCTCCCATCTTACCTAAAAATCGAGATGAGTATAATAGGTCTCTTCTGGTTCAGGAAATCTCATCTCTGTTAGCCACAGTTTAACTGTTCTTAAAAAGCAGAGACATCACCTTGCCAACAAAGGTCCGTCTAGTGAAAGCCATGGTTTTCCCAGTAGTGATGTATGGAAGTGAGAGCTGGACCATAAAGAAGGCTGATCGACGAAGAATGGATGCTTTTGAATTATGGTGCTGGAGAGTCCCATGGACTGCAAGAAGATCAAACCTATCCATTCTGAAGGAAATCAGCCCTGAGTGCTCACTGGAAGGACAGATCCTGAAGCTGAGGCTCCAAGACTTTGGCCACCTCATGAGAAGAGAAGACTCCCTGGAAAAGACCCTGATGCTGGGAAAGATGGAGGGCACAAGGAGAAGGGGACGACAGAGGACAAGATGGTTGGATAGTGTTCTTGAAGCTACGAACGTGAGTTTGACCAAACTGCGGGAGGCAGTGGAAGACAGGAGTGCCTGACGTGCTCTGGTCCAGGGGGACATGAAGAGTCGGACACGACTAAACGACTAAACAACAACAACAAACTGTTCCTTCCCCAGGAACGCCCTCCCAGCAGATGTCAAGGCAATAAACAACTATTTTACTTTTAAAAGACAACAGAAGGCGGCCCTGTTTAGGGAAGTTTTTAATATTTAATGCTGTATTGTGTTTTTAATATTCAGTTGGAAGCTGCCCAGAGTGGCTGGGGAAACCCAGCCAGATGGGCGGGGTAATAATAAATAATAATAATAATAATAATAATAATAATAATTTGCAAGGGGGAAAGAAACCTCGGTTGGCTTCTTTTCAAGATAGATATGTCTTTAAAGAAGCATCAATCAATCAATCAATCAATCAATCAGTGACACACAAATAGACAGGAAATTTCACCAGGATTCTAAATTCATATTAGTTTTCCCTCCTGCTCCCTCACGGCCCTTTTTAAACGACCCGGTCATTCTGCGTTCCTTTCTTACTGCTGTTCGAGCCATTTTAAAGCATTTCTTGGCTTCCTGCGTTCCTGCCTTTTAATCTAGAAGCTGCCTCGAGGGACTTTTCCTCCTTGTTGCGAAAAGGGAGGTCAGAAATATCCTGAAGTCAGACTAGCAGGCTCTCAGGACCCCAATCCAGAGAGCGCGTGTTCGGTGCTAGAGAGTTCCCAGCCTCTCCCACTCACCTCTTGTCGGCCATCTGCCGTCGTAAGCCATTTCGGCTTCACTCCGTTGCTGACCAGTGGCTTTTCCTCCGGGACGAGGCAGGCATAGGGGGGCTCGGCGGGCTCCGCCCCCACGCTCTCCGAAACGGTTTTCACTTCCGAGGGGCTGGGCTTCTGCTCGGGGATACGAGCCACGCGGAACCTGGGCCACGAAACAAAACACCGTATATAAATGGCGTATCTTATCTTGCTATAGACATAGAAAGGTAAGGTGGTTGTCACGGTCTGCAGTTTGCCAGGGAAGGCAGGGCTGGGGAGCGCAGCAAGCAGAGTCAGCGGCCCCTTGTCTGTGCGAACCAGGGGTTGAAAATGGGCTTTTTTTCACACGGGTCAAAGACCCAGTTTGGCCCAAGATTCACCCATGCACCTCTGTGTACATACACACAGGCTGGGAGCCTCAATGGTGCCCCTTTGGTGTGTGTATATAATAATAAATAATAATAAATTTTATTTATACCCCGTCAAAACCGGGCTCAGGGCGGCTAACACCCGATACAAAAACAAATTGATTGAAATACAACTTAAAAACAAGATTCAATTACAACATTTAAACATTAAAACACAGCCTCATTTCAATGGAAACTCAAATCAAAAACTTTTTGGGGATGAAAACGTCAAATCTTCACCAAGGCTAACTTTCCAAACTGGTCCTACATGGGCTAGAAAAAAGCCAGGGAAGTCCCCAAATAGGCATTCCATCACAGGAGGAGAAAGGAAAGATATATAGATGTATTTTTTTATACTGAGTTCTGGGGAGATCATTCCAGAGACAGGGAGCCACCACCGAAAAGGCCCGTTCCCGTGCTGTTTTCCCTAGGGTGGCCCTGATCCGAGCATTAGGGAATTCAGAGCTGCCATTGGGAGGAAACGCAGCAGAGCCTTGTAGCTTCGAGGCCTGCCTTTGCAATCTTAAGGACTAACTTGACTCGAACAAAATGGTAGTTTCCGGGACACCAAAGTGCCTGAGCTTTGCAACTACAACCGCAGAGCGTGGAGCAGCCTGTTCCGTCACTCACCTGCCCACGGAGAGGATGGTGATCTCTCCCGGCCTGCAAGCCTTGCCTCCGGGCTTTGCGAGCTTCGCGGTGGCGCTGCCAGGAGCGATGGAGGTGGCCGGCGTGGCTTCTGCCGAGGGCAGCACCTCCGGCCACTTCTTCTGGCTGCACCGGGTGCAGGTGGGGCCCGGGCGGGTGGCCAAGCCTTGGACTGTGTGCAGGTGGTGCTGGTGCCTGCAGATGTGGGGCAACTGAGGCAGGAGATGCAGCCTAAGAGGGGGTAGGGGGGTGAGAGGGGAAAGGACCACCGTTAGAGGAGAGAACAGAGACCCCCTCAAAGGCCACCCCACAGGTTCACCACCCAACTTGATCATGTTACGCCAGGAATCACTCCATCAACTCCTTCACGCCAGGGGGGTTGGAGTGGATGACCTTTGGGGTTCCCTTCCATTTCTACAATTCTAAGGTTTTACTCCTAATAATAATAAATTTTTATTTATACCCCGCCCTTCCCGGTTCAAAAACCGGGCTCAGGGCGGCTAACAACAAATTTAAAACACTTAATTATAAAAGCAGCATAAAATACAGTATAAAACATGAATAACAATAAAATTCAAACTTCAGAAATCAATTTGGGGGAAATCCATCTAATAAGCATTAGATAATCCCCAGGGCTAGCTGGCTGAATTGGTCCTACTTGGGCCAGCGAGGAGACCAGGGGAGAATTAGCTGTGGGGTCTCAGAGCGGGTGATCTTCATAAAAGGGGAGGGGGAGGGAAGGAAGGGGAATAAAAGATCAGGCTGAATTCAAATTAAAGGCCAGGAGGAATAGCTCTGTCTTACAGGCCCGACGGAAGGAGGTTAAATCCTGCAGGGCCCTAGTCTCATGGGACAGAGCATTCCACCAGGTCGGAGCCATCACTGAGAAGGCCCTGGCCCTGGTGGAGGATAGTCTGACTTCCTTAGGGCCCGGGACCTCTAAACTATGGTTATTCATGGACCTTAAAGTCCTCTGCGGGGCAGACCAAGAGAGGCAGTCCCGTAAAGGTTCAACAAGAGCTTCAGCTTAATATTACATCCTTTTTCAGTGTCTGTGCCGCCCTATTCCTTGATCTGCTGCATTGTGGGCAAAAAATGTAATGGGTGAATCTGGTTGTTGAGAACCAGGAATATTATTATTAGTAGTAGTAGTAGTGGTATACCGCCCTTCATCCGTAGATCTCTGGGCAGTTCACACCATAAAAATACAGGATGATGCAGCAGTCAGAGAGAGGAACAGGGTCTAGTCCCCAGTCATGAGGCTCCCTGGGTAATAATAATAATAATAATAATATCAATATCACTCAGGGAGCCTCTCACAAGACACATACAAACCAACACACAAGCATGCAAACAACACACAGAGCATATTCAGGTGAAAAAAATAAATTAATGAGATGCAGTTACATTTAGCAAAGTTTAAGGTGAGCCATAATAATAATAATAATAATAATAATAATAATAATAATAATAATAATATTATTTATACCCTGCCCATCTGGCTGGGTCTCCCCAGCCACTCTGGGCAGCTCCCAACAGAATATTAAAAAACACGATAAAAGGTCAAACACTAAAACTTCCCTAAACAGGACTGCCTGTTTATAGCTCAGCCACAAAGAGGAGCGAGCCATGGCTTACGTGATTCTCTCTTTTTAGATAGGAGGCCATCTCTTTGTAGTCCAAACTGTTCACATAAATGGCCCCGTTTCTCTAACGAGGGGAGGGGGTGATGATAAGGGGCAGCGGGAGAGGGAAAAGGTCCAGATATCTTGCTTTTATATAATCGACTATTTTGTTCTATGTATATCACAATGTTCTTTTGTTGCTGTGGGCGATGGCTGACGCAAATAAAGTTTCATTCATTCACTCTTGCTTTTACAATTTTGTATTCTAGCTAATTTTTGAAACTACTTGTCTATGACCGTAATAAAATGATCAAAAGGAAAAGCCATCCTTCTTACTTGTTGATGGGCTTATAGATGGGCTGCAAGACCTGCTTGCTGTGATAATCTTTCAGCATCTCCTCCAAGACTGCGGCGTTCTCTGTCGGCGGCAAATGAGAGGGACAGGGAGGGGAAATAAAGCAGAGCCGTTGAAGAGGAGGTGAAAAAGGAGGGGGAAGAGAGTCATCGGTGCAACACGAAGCCTAGCAAGCCCACTAGTCCTCATTAAGGTGGGCAACCTAATTTTGGCTTGTACCATTTCAGTCCACGGGACAGTAGGGGCAGGGCTGGATTTAGGTTTGATGAGGCCCTAAGCTACTGAAGGTAATGGGTCCTTTTATATGTCCAGCTGTCCTTTGTCAACAACACATTGTCGCTGTTTTTGTGTGTTGAATATATGGTAATATATGGACCTAATACTTATCTACAGCCATTTGCACATGCAGAATGTAGGCACCCTATATATAGAAAGGAGCAAACCAGTGATATTTTAGGGAGCAGGCTTTGACATGCTTTCGAACTGCTAGGTTGGCAAGAGCTGGGACAGAGCAATGGGAGCTCACCCCGTTGCGGGGATTCGAACCGCCGACTTTCTGATCGGCAAGTCCTAGGCTCTGTGGTTTAACCCACAGCGCCATGGTGCATCTAGCTCAGCCCTGGCTCTCCTGGGTTGCAGGCAGGGCATCATCTCTCAACTCTGCCAGAGATGCCTTTGGGGATTGGACCTGGGGACCTTCTGCCTGCTGTGGTATGTAATCCACTGAGAGCAGACAAGTGCAACATTCCTTGTTTTCCTAGAGTGGTCATGCAGGGGAATGTTTGGTCCAGCCAGTTGAAACTTCCTGTTCCTCCTGGGCTGGAGCATCCTTCCTTTTGCATGTGACTAGTGGGTGGGCGTAACCTTTCCAGACCTGGTAAAAGGCCAAGCCATGCTGCCCATCTCTCTCTTTTCTATCTTCCTTTCGTCCTGCGAACTTCCAGGACTGCTAACTGCAGTCACTAGGTCAACCCACATATGGGGTAAACCTGTTTGCATATGCTTGTAACTTTAAGCCTAAAGGCTGCCTTCAGGGATCTCACTGTGCTCTGCCTGATCCCGAGTAGACTTTCTTTATGTTACTTACGAGTAAGACTGTGGTGTCTTTATTCTTTCAGGAGGAATTCAAGGGGTCTTACCAGGAAAATATTATAACGCATTTCAACCTGGACAAGCCAGACTGAATTGTGTATTGTCTTAAGAAACTCACACGAGTTTGCAACAAGTTTTCTTTTTTTCTTTCTTTTTAAATATAATTTTTATTAGTGTTTTTTTTAACGTATCATTTTCAACAGTAATTAAACATACTTTTACATCTTATTCAAATTTTTGACTTCCATCAATCCTGTCTGAAAATTTTCAATCTAATCTCTCATTATGCTTTTCTTATTTTCCTTATTACATTTCAAACTCATAACCAATATCTCTATCTTTTCCTACTTTGTAACACTTTGTATATTTCTCCTTACAAAACTTCTTGTAGTCCCACTAGCGTAATTTGTTGATTACAGTTGCTCTTCAAATAATTCATATACTTCTTCCAATCTTCTGTAAAGACTTGCAACAAGTTTTCTGCTTTGTAAAGGGGAATGTAAGCTCTGCTAAGTAAAGGAACTTGCTGGCGAAAGTTTGGGAAGGATATTAATAAGCAATATATCCTCTCCTAGGGACGAGGGTGGCGCTGTGGGTTAAACCACAGAGCCTAGGACTTGCCGATCAGAAGGTCAGCGGTTCGAAACCCCATGACGGGGTGAGCTCCCGTTTCTCGGTCCCTGCTCCTGCCAACCTAGCAGTTCAAAAGCACGTCAAAGTGCAAGTAGATCATTAGGTACCACTCCGGCGGGAAGGTAAATGGCGTTTCCGTGCGCTGCTCTGGTTCGCCAGAAGCGGATTAGTCATGCTGGCCACATGACCCGGAAGCTGTACGCCGGCTCCCTTGGCCAATAAAGCGAGATGAGTGCCGCAACCCCAGAGTCGGTCACGACTGGACCTAATGGTCAGGGGTCCCTTTACCTTATACTCTCCTGCCACCCTGAACATTCCCACACATGCAGGCAGAGACTCTGGCACTGAGCTTGCCAATGAACGGGACTCAAGGAGGAGGGACTTTGACCACCCATAACGAACGGATAAAGCAAAGGTCCCCGGCCCCCCTCTTTCCTGTGCAAGGCTCACCTTTCTTCTCTGTGATCAGACGCACCAGGACTCCAATGGTGTCTTCATTGGCATCTTCTATTCTGTAGCCAGGATTATTCCCTAAGGAGAAAAGGACAGCAGGATGAAAAACGCTCTCCCTGGCTTGGCTGACCTGCTCTGAAGCCAGCTGAGTCAAAAAGGGGTCGGTAGGTCAAGGGAGTCAGTCCCTGGAACTACAGGAAGGCTCATTCGTACTTTGTGCAGCGATAACATTTTTATTTACAGAATATCTTTTTACATAGAGGTTTGGCCCACAAGCTGACTTGGCAAATACAGCGGCACTGGCTTCAGTTGTTTTTACAGTGGTACCTCGGGTTACATACGCTTCAGGTTACAGATTCCGCTGACCCAGAAATAGTGCCTCAGGTTAAGAACTTTGCTTCAGGATGAGAACAGAAATTGTGCGGCAGCAGCAGGAGGCTCCATTAGCTAAAGTGGTGCTTCAGGTTAAGAACAGCTTCAGGTTAAGAACGGACCTCCGGAATGAATTAAGTACTTAACCCGAGTATTGTATTGATGTTTTACCTGTTTGGCCATTTATGTAGTGGTTCATTATTCTTCTTCTTATTATTATTATTACAGTGGTACCTCGGGTTAAGTACTTAATTCATTCTGGAGGTCCGTTCTTAACCTGAAGCACCACTTTAGCTAATGGGGCCTCCCACTGCCGCCGCGCCGCTGGAGCACGATTTCTGTTCTCATCCTGAAGCAAAGTTCTTAACCCAAGGTACTATTTATGGGTTAGTGGAGTCTGTAACCTGAAGCGTCTGTAACCTGAAGCGTATGTAACCCGAGGTACCACTGTATTGGGAAAAAATATAATCTGTTTAGGAGACCATTGTAAGCAGTTGAGAACATTAGCAGGATTTTAATCTCACTTGTAAAGTAACAAAGACTAGGGGCATTTTAGTCGGATAACAAATGTGGATAACAGACTGACATGGAGATGTAAATACAGTCATACCTCGGGTTACAGACGCTTCAGGTTGCGTTTTTTTTGGGTTACGGACCGCCGAAACCCAGAAGTACCGGAACGGGTTGCTTCCGGGTTTCGGCCGTCGCGCATGGGCAGAAGCACCGAATCACAACCCGCGCAACCCACTTAAGGACTCTATATGGGCTCTGGAATACCCCATATTGCCAAACCAGTTTCACCTCCTCCCTTACAACCACCCTGTGATGTAAATTAAGCCAAGACGGAGAGAGAGAAAAACTGGAGGAACCCCTTTTCTGTGGTGGCGCTTCTGCTCTGGAATGCCCCAGACTGACGTGAACCCGACTCCTTTTTGTGTCTCCTACACCAGAAACCGAAGGCATTTTTATGTTCACAGAGTGCCTAACACCCCTGGTTTTATTGCTGGCAGTTTCAAAGTGTAATATCTCTTGTCCTTTCTGCTAGAAGGCATATCTTCTTAAAAAAGAAACAGTGGCTGCATATTATTATGCATTCTCAGTTACAGACTGCAGAAACTGCTTTCTTAATTGCACTTACACTGTTCTCGATTATATGGCTCGGCTTTATTATTAGATGCTATGCTGCTGCTTTGGGTACTTTCAATAGAAGGGCCGGATGAGAATAAATGATCAAGATGGTTTATTAAAATGACTCACGCGGCAGGATTTAAATCTCAGGAGCGTGACCTGAGAGAGACACAGTCAAATTCACAATAGGCGCACTCCTGTTGTTTTGTTGCGGTGGGTTACACGTTTTCAGGCTACTTCCGGCGCCCGCAAATGCGCAGAAGTGCTAAATCGCTCTTTGCGCATGCGGAGAAGCGCCGAATCACGTCATGTGCGTGCGCAGAGGTGGCACTTTGGATTGCGAACGTGCCCCCTGCACGGATCACGTTCACAACCCGAGGCTCCACTGTTTTTTAAATGAAAATCGCCAAAATCTACACTGCAGAAATGGGCTGCCATGTGTCCGGCAACCATACAATATCTGCCCTCTCAATTGCTTCTGTCAGAGCAATTGGCACCAATACAGGTGCCACATACCTGTCCCACATTTGTAGGAACTTGATCTTTTAGTGTGGCAGCACCTACAACTCTGGAACTCCCTGCCTATTGATCTCAGGCGCCTTCACTGTACTATTTTTGACAGCTGCTGAAAACATTCTTGTTTAGAAAAGTCTATCCAGATGTTTAGAAAGTTTATGCGAGTTTTAATCTGTCATTTTAACTTTTCGAAAATACTGTCGTTTTCTTCTTCTTGATAACTTTATTGTTTTGTCCTTCTTCTTCTTCTTCTTCTTCTTCTTCTTCTTCTTCTTCTTCTTCTTCTTCTTCTTCTTCTTCTGTAAACTGCCTTGCGGTTAGTTGTTTCTTTTTACCATAAACAGAAATAATAAAACCCTAGCTCCAATGTGTATTTGCTATGAAACAAAGAAACACCCTCATTGCAGTTATGTTTCACTCTGAGTAACGCTACTTGGCTTAACAAAAGCTTTGCCCCAATATTGTGAGCAAAGGTTTTGTGATTTGAATTTAATAGCCTCCTTGTTGCTGGTAATACAAGAGGGAGGGGGACAATTTCTGGAGATGCTGTGGTGGAGTTCAGGAACTCAGCAACTCCTTAGGACCTTCCTGAGTCAACAATGACCTCATAGTGGGGGATGGACTTATGCGCAGGGTTCCCGGTCTCACAGCTGCAGCTTTGCCGGTGAAATCTGGGCTTCCCCCTTGGCCAAATCCTCTTCCTCTGACACTCTCTTCCTCCCCTGAGGCAGCAATGCTGGCCAAGATATCACTTGGCCAGTGCCAGATTTATGTATAAGCTAAACAAGCTATAGCTGAGGGCCCCACTCTCTTGGGACCACCCAAAAAATTATAGGGAAAAACAACTGGATGTACATTTCCAAAATATAAGATAAAAAAATAAAAAAATAAAACCTACACGCAGCAACAGTGTTTTGTGTTGTGTAGGCTCCTATGATGTAAGTAATGGGCCCCGCCTGCTAGCCTGCTCCCTAAAATATCACTGGTTTGCTCCTTTCTATATACAATGGTACCTCGGTTTACAAACAGTCCTGTTTTTTAACTATTCGGTTTACGAACTCAGCAAAATCGGAAGTAGTGTTCCGGTTTGCGAACTTTACCTCAGTCTACGAAAGAAGACGGTGACGACAGTCACGGAATTAAAAGACACCTGCTTCTTGGGAGAAAAGCAATGACAAAGCTAGACAGCATCTTAAAAAGCAGAGACATCACCTTGCCGACAAAGGTCCATATAGTTAAAGCTCTGGTTTTCCAAGTAGTGATGTATGAAAGTGAGAGCTGGACCATAAAGAAGGCTGATCACCGAAGAATTGATGCTTTTGAATTCTGGTGCTGGAGGAGACTCTTGAGAGTCCCATGGACTGCAAGAAGATCCAACCTCTCCATTCGGAAGGAAATCAGCCCTGAGTGCTCACTGGAAGGACAGATCCTAAAGCTGAGGCTCCAAGACTTTGGCCACCTCATGAGAAGAGAAGACTCCCTGGAAAAGACCCTGATGTTGGGAAAGATAGAGGGCACAAGGAGAAGGGGACCGCGGAGGACAAGATGGTTGGATAGTGTTCTCGAAGGTGCCAGCATGAGTTTGACCAAAGTGCGGGAGGAAGTGGAAGACAGGAGGGCCTGGCGTGCTCTGGTCCAGGGGGTCATGAAGAGTCGGGCACGACTAAACAATAACAACAACAAATGGAAGCTGAACAGTGGAAGGGCACTAGCGGCAGGAGGCCTCATTAGGGAAAAGATGGATTTGGTTTAAGAACGGACTTCAGGAATGGATTAAGTTCATAAACCGAGGTACCACTGTATAGGGTGCCTATACAGTGGTGCCTCGCAAGACGAAATTAATTCGTTCCGCAAGTTTTTTCTTCTTGCGAGTTTTTCGTCTTGCGAAGCACGGTTTCCCATAGGAATGCATTGAAAATCAATTAATGCGTTCCTATGGAGACCGCCTTCAGACCAGGTCCAGGGACAGTCTGTCCCCAGACCTCTTCTGATGGCTGGCGGGGGAAGAAGGACTTTTCTCCCCACCGCCAGCCTTCAGAACAGCCTTCTGAAGGCTGGCGGTGGGAAGAAAAGCCCTTCTCCCGCCGCCAGCCTTCAGAAGAGTTCCCGGAGGGCTGCCTAGGCTGCGGATAGCAGCCTGCTGCCCGGTGCGAGGCAGACATCTGCAGCTTGGGGTGCCCTGCAGGAATTCCCCGCAGGGCTCTCCAAGCTGCGGATAGCAGCCTGCTGCCCCACACGAGGGGCGCTCTTAAGCAGAGCGCTCCTTGTGCGGGGCAGACACCTGCAGCTTGGGGAGCCCTGCAGGACTTCCCCGCAGGGCTCTCCAAGCTGCAGATAGCAGCCTGCTGCCCCGCACGAGGGGCGCTCTTAAGCAGAGCGCCCCTCGCGCGGGGCAGACATTCACAGCTTGGGGAGCCCTGCAGGACTTCCCTGCAGGGCTCTGCAAGCTGCGGATAGGGGCAGCAGGCTGCTATCTGCAGCTTGGAGAGCCCTGCGGGGAAGTCCTGCAGGGCTCCCCAAGCTGCGAATGTCTGCCCCGCGCGAAGGGCGCTCTGCTTAACAGCGCCCCTTGTGCGGGGCAGCAGGCTGCTATCCGCAGCTTGGAGAGCCCTGCGGGGAACTCCTGCAGGGCTCCCCAAGCTGTGAATGTCTGCCCCGCACGAGGGGCGCTCTGCTTAAGAGCGCCCCTCGTGCGGGGCAGCAGGCTGCTATCCGCAGCTTGGAGAGCCCTGCGGGGAAGTCCTGCAGGGCTCCCCAAGCTGCAGGTGTCTGCCCCACGCAAGGGGCAGCAGGCTGCTATCCGCAGCTTGCAGAGCCCTCGGGGAAGTCCTGCAGGGCTCCCCAAGCTGTGAATGTCTGCCCCGCGGGAGGGGCGCTCTGCTAAAGAGCGCCCCTCGTGCGGGGCAGCAGGCTGCTATCCGCAGCTTGGAGAGCCCTGCGGGGAACTCCTGCAGGGCTCCCCAAGCTGTGAATGTCTGCCCCGCACGAGGGGCGCTCTGCTTAAGAGCGCCCCTCGTGCGGGGCAGCAGGCTGCTATCCGCAGCTTGGAGAGCCCTGCGGGGAAGTCCTGCAGGGCTCCCCAAGCTGCAGGTGTCTGCCCCACGCAAGGGGCAGCAGGCTGCTATCCGCAGCTTGCAGAGCCCTGCGGGGAAGTCCTGCAGGGCTCCCCAAGCTGTGAATGTCTGCCCCGCACGAGGGGCGCTCTGCTTAAGAGCGCCCCTCGTGCGGGGCAGCAGGCTGCTATCCGCAGCTTGGAGAGCCCTGCGGGGAAGTCCTGCAGGGCTCCCCAAGCTGCAGGTGTCTGCCCCACGCAAGGGGCAGCAGGCTGCTATCCGCAGCTTGCAGAGCCCTGCGGGGAAGTCCTGCAGGGCTCCCCAAGCTGCGAATGTCTGCCCCGCGCGAGGGGCGCTCTGCTTAAGAGCGTCCCTTGCGCGGGGCAGCATGCTGCTATCCGCAGCCTAGGCAGCCCTCCGGGAACTCTTCTGAAGGCTGGCGGGGGAGAAGGGCTTTTCTTCCCACCGCCAGCCTTCAGAACAGCCTTCTGAATGTTGGCGGTGGGGAGGAAAACCTTCCTCCCACCGCAAGTCTTCAAAACAGGTCCAGGAACAGAGGAGAAGCGCTGCGCGCCTTCCCCTCTGTTCCCGGACCTGTCCTGAAGGCTTGCGGTGGGAGGAGGGCTTTCCTCCCCACCGCCAACATTCAGAATGCTGTTCTGAATGTTGGCGGTGGGGAGGAAAAACCCTCCTCCCACCGCAAGCCCCGGGAACAGAGGAGAAGCGCTGCGCGCCTTCTCCTCTGTTCCCGGACCTCCCACCACAAGCCTTCAGGACAGGTCTGGGAACAGAGGAGAAGGTGCGCTGCGCTTCCCCGCTGTCCCAGGAGATTTCCCTATGGGCTTTCGTCTTGCGAAGCAAGCCCATAGGGAAATTCGTCTTGCGAAGCCTCTAAAAATCGGAAAACCCTTTCGTCTTGCGGGTTTTTCGTTTAGCGAGGCATTCGTCTTGCGGGGTACCACTGTATTCTGCATGGACTGGCTGAATGGCAACATGTGCAAATGGCTTGAGATACCTGTTAGGTCCATAAGTTACCATAGCATATTCAACACAAAAACGGCGACCATTTGTTGTTGACAAAGGGCAGCTGGACATATGAAGGGCCCCATTACCTTCAGTAGCTTAGGGCCTCATCAAACCTAAATCCAGCCCTATTTTGGCAGCCCTTGTTTGGCTGAGTCTTTCTACCCTGCCCATAGGCAGAGTGGAACAAGCACACCAGGACCGACCAACACACAACAAAGAGCACAAAGGAGATTATGACTGTTTGTACAGATGACAGCTTTAAAGAAGCAAATGGACACTCCCCGATACAACCAACGCCTTCAGAACGGGCATGTGCCTTGGATAGATGATGCACCACAAAAGCTCTTCTGCTGGCAGACTTCGCAGCCCAGGGCGGAGCTGCTTTTAAGCATTGTCTAGGAAGAAGGGTGGGGGACGCGGGTGGTGCTGTGGGTTAAACCACAGAGCCTAGGACTTGCCGATCAGAAGGTTGGCGGTTCGAATCCCCGCGACGGGGAGAGCTCCCGTTGCTCGGTCCCAGCTCCTGCCCACCTAGCAGTTCGAAAGCACGTCAAAGTGCAAGTAGATAAATAGGTACCACTCCAGTGGGAAGGTAAACGGCGTTTCCGGGCGCTGCTCTGGTTCGCCAGAAGCGGCTTAGTCATGCTGGCCACATGACCCGGAAGCTGTACACCGGCTCCCCTGGCCAATAAAGCGAGATAACACCGCAACCCCAGAGTCAGCCACGACTGGACCTAATGGTCAGGGGTCCCTTTAGCTTTACCTAGGAAGAAGGGTGCAGGATCTGCACCCAAGATGAGCATGCAGCCTGTCCTTTTTGCTACACCAGAAGGAAACGGATGCAGCCACCTTGCATCAAGCCAGCTCAACTAGCCAAAAGGGTACGATCTGCTCCAGCAATGACCCTCCGAGGTCTCAGCGAAAGAGTTGACCTGTGCCCCACTTTCTTGTTTTACTACACAGGAAGTTGTGCTCTGTTGTGGGTCTAATCTGCAACAGTTCACTGATGCAATAATAGGTAAAGGTAAAGGACCCTTGGGGGACGTGGGTGGCACTGTGGTCTAAAGCACTGAGTCCAGGGCTTGCCAATCGGAAGGTCGGCAGTTCGAATCCCCGCGACGGGTGAGCTCCCGTTGCTCGGTCCCTGCTCCTGCCAAACTAGCAGTTTGAAAGCACGTCAAAGTGGAAGTAGATAAATAGGTACTGCTCTGGTGGGAAGGTAAACGCCGTTTCCGGGTGCTGCTCTGGTTCACCAGAAGCGGCTTAGTCATGTTGGCCACATGACCCGGAAGCTGTCTGTGGACAAATGCCGGCTCCCTCGGCCTATAGAGCGAGATGAGTGCCGCAACCCCAAAGTTGTCCACGACTGGACCTAACGGTAAGGGGTACCTTTACCTTTTTAAAGGACCCCTGGAAAGTTAAGTCCAGTCCAAGGGGACTATGGGGTTGCGGCGCTCATCTCGCTTTCAGGCTGAGGGAGCCGGCGTTTGTCCACAGACAGCTTTCCGGGTCTTGTGGCCAGCAGGACTAAACCGCTTCTGACACAACAGGACACTGTGATGGAAACCAGAGTGCAAGGAAACACTGTTTACCTTCCCACCACAACGGTACCTATTTATCTACTTGCACTGGCGTGCTTTTGAATTGCTAGGTTGGCAGGAGCTGGGACAGAGCAACAGGAGCTCACCCCATCGCGGGGATTCAAACCGCCAACCTTCCGATCGGCAAGCCCAAGAGGCTCAGGGGTTTAGACCACAGCACCACCTGTGTGCGTTAATAACTGCATTGGTGGTGGGATTATACTGGAACATCCACACATAATTTGACATTTTTTGTTGTTCTGCAATGCTTCCTGGATGACTACGAGGTAATATGATAGCAATGCCTCAAGGCATGATGGGGAAGATAGACATAATATTTGGCAAGGACCAAAAGGAACAATATGGTTTTAAACACCACACACAGGAAGAAGAAAGGAGAACTTCACTTGTGGGTCATAAGTTCTTAAATGTGTCAACACAAATTGAAGTTAGAACACTAGCTGTTGTATAAGGGATTATTATTAAGATTGGATTGTAACTGGACTGAATAACAGTTTGGAAGCAGAATTAAAGGGAATTATTATACCTTGAATAATAACCAGGCAGAGGGCCTTCTCGGTGGTGGCGCCCGCCCTGTGGAACGCCCTACCATCACATGTCAAGGAAATAAACAACTAAACTATCTGACTTTTAGAAAACATCTGAAGGCAGCCCTGTTTAGGGAAGTTTTTAATGTTTGATGTTTTATCGTGTTTTTTATATTCTGTTGGGAGCTGCCCAGAGAGGCTGGGGAAACCTGGCCAGATGGGCGGGGTACAAATAATAAATAAGCAAAAATAAATTACTCTATTGCCTTAATGGCTCCCTGAAAAGTGCACTCTGCACTGCTTGCAAAATGTGACAATCTGAAATACAGGGAGCGCCAATGGATATGCCCTGATCATCATCCAGAAGAGCTCACGTCCCGCCCTGGCCCTGGCTCACCGTTCCTCTCGGATTTGGCCCCCTCCTCGTCCGTGTCCTTGTGGGCGGTGCAGTGATAGCCTTTCTTCATCAACAGGTTGCAGAAGAGGATCCCTAGCAGGCCCATCACGCAGAAGACCGGGACAATGGCCAAGACGGCATACTGGGTGGCGCTCTCCTCCGGCTTCCCCTCTCGGGTTCCGTTGGCAGCCATCTTGTTGTCCCGCCTCTGCAGAGCTTCGGCGTTGCGTGCCAGGCGGGTCAGCCACTTCCTGGATCCTGAGAGGGTAAGGAATTGGGAGAAGTTGGTGGCATCACGAGATCAACCAGAACGTACCACCAGCCATGGGGTGACCCCCTCTCTGTCCTGGGCTCCAGCTCCAACAACTGATGGGCTCCCTGCCTTCTGCAATCCCAGTCCCAATGCAAACCAGGCACTGTGGCCTTTATGGATTTGGACTTCACCATTCCAGCTCCCTACAACAATTCCCAGAGAAGACTGGCAGGTTAAGTTGATGGATTTTGCTGAAATGGCAAAAATGACCGGAAAAATCAGAAATCAGGAATATCAAAGTTTTAATAAGGAATGGGGAAGAAAATTTATAATTCATCTTACAAACCATTGAAAACGGTTAACATCGTTAGTAGGATTGGAATAACACTTGTAGTTCAGTGGTGAATTTTGGATATAATGGAGAAGTAAAAGGTTTGGATAATCACAAAAGATGCAAGAACAACGGGACCCACAAAGGGGAGGAGGGAAGTCCAGGAGATTCTTCAGAATTGTATTTTTATGTTGTATGTTGGATATGTGTTTTAAAAGCTTTCATTTAATTTTATGGGGAAAGAAACCAGCAATTCCCAGATCCTCCCTTTTCCTTGATGCTCACTTACAGTACACTTTGAAAGCACAGCTGACCTTAATGGGTCCCCTCTTTTAAGCCGAGATGCTCAAAGGCTTTATTATTAGTGTATTTTATTATTTATCAAATTTATACGCTGCCCTTCATCTGAAGGTCACAGGGCAACATAAAAACAACCAAGCCCATTCCATTGTGTCAAATGCCTTTTCGGCATCTGGAAGCAAAGCAGTGGTGTTAACGGCGCAGGGCGTGCAATCAAATTAAAACACCCTTTGACAACACATCCTGGTTGTTCCTACTTAAAACAAAATCCACATTTCACCTGGCGATCATTTCTGGGTGTTCATTAGAATGCATGCTTGTGGCAGAATTTTACAACCTGCCTTTGCCACACAGGCATGCCCGACGGATGACTCAACCACGAGTTTTTCAACATTTGGGTATCAACAATTATTGCCACGATCTGCCCTGCAGAAATTCCTGTTGCAACCTATGTCTGACTAGCTGTGATGCTTTCGCACCTCGTGTTGTAAGGAACCGCAAGGCGCCCCTCGGACCTGTTCTGGTATCTGACAGGCAGACTACACAGAGGTGGAAGCGGGAATCCCAGGGCTTGGAATTTCCTGCCTTTCTACACCACCTTGTTCAGAGGAGTAGTAGTAGTAGTAGTAGTAGTAGTAGTAGTAGTAGTAGTAAAGGTAAAGGTACCCCTGCCCATACGGGCCAGTCTTGCCAGACTATAGGGTTGTGCGCTCATCTCACTCTATAGGCCGGGAGCTAGCGCTGTCTGCAGACACTTCCGGGTCACGTGGCCAGCGTGACAAGCTGCATCTGGCGAGCCAGCGCAGCACACGGAACGCCGTTTAACTTCCCGCTGGTAAGCGGTCCCTATTTATCTACTTGCACCCGGAGGTGCTTTTGAACTGCTAGGTTGGCAGGCGCTGGGACCGAACGATCGGAGCGCACCCCGCCGCGGGGATTCGAACCGCCAACCATGCGATCAGCAAGTCCTAGGCGCTGAGGTTTTACCCACAGCGCCACCCGCGTCCCTCAGTAGTAGTAGTAGTAGTAGTAGTAGTAGTAGTAATAATAATAATAATAATAATAATAATAATAATAATAATAATTTATTATTTATACCCCACCCATCTGGCTGGGTTTCCCCAGCCACTCTAGGTGGCTTCCAACAAAACACTAAAATACAATAACCTATTAAACATTCAAAGCTTCCCTAAACAGGGCTGCCTTCAGATGTCTTTTAAAATTTGGTAGTTATTTTTCTCTTTGGCATCTGGTGGGAGGGCGTTCCACAGGGCGGGCGCCACTACCGAGAAGGCCCTCTGCCTGCTTCCCTGTAACTTGGCTTCTCACAGCGAGGGAACCGCCAGAAGGCCCTCGGTGCTGGACCTCAGTGTCCGGGCAGAACGATGGGGGTGGAGACGCTCCTTCAGGTCTACTGGGCTGAGGCTGTTTAGGGCTTTCAAGGTCAGCACCAACACTTTGAATTGTGCTCGGAAACGTACTGGGAGCCATTGTAGGTCTTTCAGGACCAGTGTTATGTGGTCTCAACGGTCGCTCCCAGTCACCAGTCTAGCTGCCGCATTCTGGATTAGTTGTAGTTTCTGAGTCACCTTCAAAGGTAGCCCCACATAGAGCACATTGCAGTAGTCCAAGCAAGAGATAACCAGAGCATGCACCACTCTGGCGAGACTGTCCGCGAGCAGGTAGGGTCTCAGTCTGCGTTCCAGATGGAGCTTATGGCGCCTCCATGGACAGCTGTGAGTCCAAAATGACTCCCAGGCTGCGCTCCTGGTCCTTCAGGGGCAAAGTTACCCCATTTAGGACCAGGGAGTCCGCCACACCCACCTCCTGTCCCCCCAAAACTGTACTTCTGTCTTGTCAGGATTCAACCTCAATCTGTTAGCCGCCATCCATCCTCCAACCGCCTCCAGACACTCACACAGGACCTTCACCGCCTTCACTGGTTCCGATTTGAAAGAGATACAGGTTTCAAAAAATCTCTCAGACCCACCCAGGAAATCCCAAGGTTTGCACATGCACTGAGACACACTGAGGTGTACCAAAGGACACACCTGACAAGAAGCCAAAGAGAATTAGCATGATTCACTATAATCAACTTTTCTTCGTGTGACACAAGAGAGAATATCAGGTTGTAATTAATCCTTCACAAGCCATCAAGATCCAATTAGTGCTGTGTTATATACACCCTGTTGTCTGTTTTTAGGACCCGCCCTGTTTTCGTGATTCTAATTTGCTTTAAACGGTTTCTGATGATGTATTTTGAACTGTGGTACCCCACCCTGGGATCTGAGGGTGAAGGGCAGGAAAGGATAATATAGAAAAATAATAATCAGAGAGAAATAGACAAAAACCAGAAATTTAGCAACTCATCCTGGGACTCCTGGGTTTTTATTTTTAAATAAATGTACTTGCCCCGGTAACATTAACATGTCACTTTAAAGCAAGTCATGACATGGTATCACTGCCTGGAATATTCCCCCACTGCCACTCACATGGGGGAGGGAAGCATCTGGGGCAATGACATCACACCCCACATTTCAACGCAACACAACTTTCCCAGGAAGAGAATAAGAAAGGAGCAGCAGTCAACTCGCATTTCTTGCCTCTCCCTATGAAGTTCCAGACTCTGAGGCTCTTTCAACTGCTGTAATATTTATTAGTACACTTGTACTCTGCCCTTTAGGGGACGCGGGTGGCGCTGTGGGTTAAACCACAGAGCCTAGGGCTTGCCGATCGGAAGGTCGGCGGTTCAAATCCCCACGACGGGGTGAGGTCCCGTTGCTCGGTCCCTGCTCCTGCCAACCTAGCAGTTCGAAAGCATGCCAAAAGTGCAAGGAGATAAATAGGTACCGCTCCGGCAGGAAGGTAAACGGCGTTTCAATGCTCTGGTTCGCCAGAAGCGGCTTAGTCATGCTGGCCACATGACCTGGAAGCTGTCTGCGGACAAAGGCCGGCTCGACTGGACCTAATGGTCAGGGGTCCCTTTACCTTTACTTTGCCCTTTAAATTTCATTTATTGCATTGGAGATTTTGTAAACAGAGCTGCCACCGTGGTATACAAGATAAAATGCAAAAGATTACAAATTTAAATGAATGAAAAGCGGCGGAACTATTTCTACAATTTTATCCCATTGCATAAAACAATAGAATCGTCAAGTTGGAAAATACCCCAAGGGTCATCTAGATGTCAAAGAGAACTACCACCAGACTTTTAGAAGACACCTGAAGGCAGCCCTGTTTAGGGAAGCTTTTAATGTTTGATGCAGTACTGTATTATCTTAATATTTTGTTGGAAGCAGCCCAGAGTGACTGGGGAAGCCCAGCCAGATGGGCGGGGTATAAATAATAAACAAGAACAATATTATTATTATTATTATTATTATTATTATTATTATTATTATTATTTCCAACCCCCTGCAATGCAGGAATCTCAACTCACAATCCCCATCCAATGACTGGCTCACACTTCAGGGAAAGCCTTTTTAAACAAAAACGTCTTCCGTAGGTAGCTAAATATCACAATGCGAGGCGCTTGTCTTATTCCAGCTGGCAAATGATTCCAGAGGGCTAGAGCTGCAACACTCTTTTCTAGGACAAGCTAAGCACACCTCTGGGGAACCTGGTACTCTCAGCAGTGCCACACCTGAGGAGCACAGTTGCTGGGGAGAACATCTTTTATGTCACTTGGTTCCAAGTCGTCCATCAAAGAACTGAAGGTAACCCAGGTGATCTCCCACCCAGGCCCTGAGGCTGCTTAACTTCGGCAAGACAACCTAACCTGCAGACCACGCCCAGCCAGCTCTTTCCCTCTCCAGCTTGAATGGAAATAAAACGTTCCCTGTTTGCACCTCCGCCATCTTTTGCTCTCACCTGAACATCCTGGGAGGCCTTTGGGGGCAGAGAAACAAGGCAGGCAGGTGGCGTTTGGGTCTGTCTCACCTTCAGGGCTATAATATCTGTGGATGGGAAGAAGAGAGATGATCAGGTTAAAGGCTGGTATCTCAGAGATGCCCCAGAGACACCGGCGTATCACACCAGGACAAAGATCCCCAACAGGTCCCCTCCAGACTTTGAAATTTCACAGCTGGATGTACATTTCCAAAATATAAGATAAAAAACAAATAAAATAAAACCTACATACAGCAACAACAGTGTTTTGTGTTGTGTAGGCTCCTATGATGTAAGTAATAGGCCCCGCCTGCTAGCCTGCTCCCTCAAATATCCCTGGTTTGCTCATTTCTTATGTGCAAATGGCTTTAGATACCTATTAGGTCCATAAGGCAGCCCTGTTTAGGGAAGCTTTTAATGTTTAATAGGTTATTGTATTTTAATATTCTGTTGGAAGCCGCCCAGAGTGGCTGGGGAAACCCAGCCAGATGGGCAGGGTATTAATAATAAATAATAATAATAATAATAATAATAATAAAACCATACAACATATGTTTAACATAAACCAGCGACAATTTGTTGTTGACAAAGGACAGCTGGACATATAAAGGGCCCTTTACCTTCAGTAGCTTAGGGCCTCATCAAACCTAAATCTGGCCCTGGTTGCCATTATCCTCACTTAGTCTTCTGCTGCTGCACTTATAAGTCACAGCAACACAAAAGTATCCCATAAGTCCCATCCGATAACTGCCAAAAGAGGTGCAAAGCCTTCGCAGGACTCCCGTGTGGCTAAAAGAGGTGCAAAATCTTATGCTGCACTGGGGGGCAGAGGGAAAAATCCCAATGAAAATGCTAGAGGATAAGGACAAAGGCAAGGGTGGAGGGAATCTCCTTTTCCACTCTCTGCAAAATCGACGCGGGGAATTTGGATTAATCAGCAGTCCGGAGTGAGCAAAAAACGTGACTAAGGGTCATCTAGTTTCTCTCTCCTCACTCTAGCCTTAAGCAAAGGAGGCTGCGTTCAGCCGAGAGCTGGCGATGAATCACTGGTTCCAGCCCCATCACTTCCTCCTCACTGGTTTCCCGTCAAGATGTTGGGATTCCGGCTCTTCCTGGTACGCAGTTTTGCAGACTGCGGGATTTCGGAACTGTTGCTTTGGTGCCTGTCCACAATGACTTCCTTCGTGGGCTATCATAAACTTCAGGTGTCGCCTACCTTGATAGCATTTCTGGCTAGGGATGGGAACACCTTAATATCGGTCTCTCCTTTTCTCAGTTCCACTCATTCAGCTTGCTTCCTTCCCCTGCCCCTGTTCTCATTATTGCAAAATTGGCCCAGAATACACATTTTTGCAAGCACTTCTCATTCACTTTCTCTCTGTGTGTTTGGTTTTTCGTATGCTGTTCTCACTAAGAGACGCAGTCCACGCGCACTCCACCCTAGAACATGCATTTTCATTCACATTACTTGGCTGGAAAAGCGCACTGGGAAATTAGGAGAAAGTGCAAATTTCAAGGGGCGGCGGTGTTTCGATGCAGGCAAAGTCTGAAGAGGTGTGAATTTAGCAAGTACAGTGGTACATCGGGCTACATACGCTTCAGGTTACAGACTCCGCTAACCCAGAAATAGTACCTTGGGTTAAGAACTTTGCTTCAGGATGAGAACAGAAATCGTGCGGCAGCGGGAAGCCCCACTAGCTAAAGTGGTACCTCAGATTAAGAACAGTTTCAGGTCAGGAACGGACCTCCGGAACAAATTAAGTACTTAACTTGAGGTACCACTGTATGCCTTTTAAAAGTGAAGCAGATTTCTGTCCCGTCCGGACTTCCTAGCCCAGGCACTGGGAACCGAGCCACAAAATTATGCACACCTGTGTTGCTACCTTTCTCTGACACTGAACACATCAAGTACTGTCCAAGAGGGATGCAGCCCCTCTTCCAAAGCCAGTAAGAATAATTGCTCTTAAATGGGGCTATACAGTGGGGGGGGGGAAGAAGCCCAGTTTGCAACCCTTCTAAAAATATTATTCCCTCTCTGATTCTTGCTTGAAATGCCCCAAGCCATCCCAGGGACCGATGAGTCCCTGCCTATTTGAACTTCAGCACTGCTGTGGTATCAATTGCACTGAGACCTCATTTTGCACTCACACCCCTCTCTGCCTGCATTCCTGCGATCCTTATCGCCATCAGCTGACCTCCCCCAGGAATGTTGTGCATTGAGGCTGGACTGAATAGCAGCCCACTAAGCCCTGGAGGGTCCTCTACCCACCAGCCCGGCCTGCTGTACAATCTGGATCGCTGATTTTTCGACTTGGGCTCTTTGGACACTTATTACAGGTTTAAGAATATAAGAACGTGAGACAATCTGGGAACGGTTGGCTCCCGGGTGAATTAGGAAGTTTAAGATCCTCATAGCTTTTGGAGCATATGTACTCCATATGGAGCATATGGAGTTTCCACTGAAATGAGGCTGCGCTTTAATGTTTTAATGTTGAATTTTAATGTTGTTTTTTAAGCTGTATTTCAATCAATTGTTTTTATATTTGCTGTTAGCTGCCCTGAGCCCGGTCTTGGCTGGGGAGGGCGGGGTATAAATAAAAATTATTATTATTATTATTACTACTACTACTACTACTACTCAGGCACTGCACAACTAATAATAATAATAATATTAATAATAATAATAATAATAATAATAATAATAATAATAATAATATGCCACCAATCTGGCTGGGTTTCCCCAGCCACTCTGGGCGGCTCCCACCCAACAGAATATTAAAAACATTTTTAATGTTTGATAACATTAAAAACTTCCCTAAACAGGGCTGCCTTCAGATGTCTTCTGGGAGGGTGCCACCACCGAGAAGGCCCTCTGCCTGGTTCCCTGTAACCTCACTTCTCGCAGGGAGGGAACCGCCAAAAGGCCCTCAGTGTCTGGGCTGAACGATGGGGGTGGAGACGCTCCTTCAGGTGTACTGGGCCGAGGCCGTTTAGGGCTTTAAAGGTCTGCACCAACACTTTGAATTGTGCTCGGAAACGAATATGAACATTTGCACAGAATGAATATGAATATGAATGAATGTGGACATATCCATAGAAAACACAGGCAAGAGTTAAGTCACGACAGAAGTACAGTAGTACCTCTGGTTGTGAACGGGGTCCGTTCCGGAGCCCCGTGCGCAACATGAGCAGAACGCAACCCACGTCTGCGCGGGTCGCGATTCGCCGCTTCTGCGCATGATGTCATTTTCAGCATCTGTGCATGTGTGAGCAGGGAAACCCGGAAGTAACCCGTTCCGTTACTTCCGGGTCGCCGCGGGACGTATCCTGAAAGAACCTAACCTGAACCGAACGTAACAAGAGGTAAGACTGTACGAGGGTTGCAAACAGGCTTAGCAGAACCATCAAGGGCAAAATAAAAACAGATCCAGGAGCTGCATCAATCAGCTGTTGCTAAAAACGTAAGAAGAGATTGCTGGATCCGGCCAATAGCCCATCTAGCCCCGCAATCCTGTTCTAACGGTGGCCAAACAGAGACCTGTGGAAGCAGGTCCTGAGCGCCAGAGCAACTGTCCTTTCCTGTGGCTTCCAGCAATTCAAGCATTGCTGCCTCCAGCTGTGAAGGCAAAAAACATCGGCTTCCTGGCTGGTAGCCATCGAGAGCAGTCTCCTCTGTGAGTTTGTCTAATCCTCTTTTTAAAGCCATCTAGGTTGGCAGCCATCCCTGCCTCGCATGAGAGCAGGTTTCACAGTTTAACAAAACGCTTAAACAAGCTGTGTGGTCGTCATGGTCTCTTGTGGTTTCTCGACAAGGCGAATGACGGTCATAATTTTCAGGGAAGATTGCTTCAACGCCCGGTTGCCAGCTTTCCTCCACAATGCAGAGCCACATAGAAAAACACAGGCATGCTCAACGCATGGGGGAGGGCGATTGCCCTGCAATGCTCTCCCCTCCTCTTGCCCCGAATCCTTAGCAACGCACGGCGGTTCTTGCAGGATACGTGCGTGTTTGGGGTGACCCAATGTAAAAACCTGAGGATCCATGGGCTTTCACTTCCCCTCTCCCAGGCAGCCTCCTTTATCGCTAGGGTCCCTTATCTCTCTCCCGATCCCCCGATCAGCTGCTTCCTTTCAACACTCCCTTCCCTCTTGTTTGCCTTAGTGTCTTTTTCTTAACTGGAGCAGTTTTTTGCTCCTCCTTTTCTTCTAATTTCTCTCCTCATTCCTTTAGTCTTCCTGTCTCCTCTCCTTGCAAGTTCGCTGTCTTTACCTCCCCCCTCCCAGGCAGCCTCCTTTATCGCTAGCCTCCCTTATCTCGCTCCCGATCGCTTGCGATCAGCGGCTTCCCCCTTCCCTCTTTCAAAAAACAAACAAACCATGATCTGCTTTTCGCTCCTGGGCAATTCAGCTCCAGGGACCACGCATTCGCTCCATAAGACGCGCAGACATTTCCCCTTACTTTTCAGGAAGAAAAAAGTGTGTCTTATGGAGCGAAAAATACGGTAAGTTCATATCCAAATCCTGCCACAATTTCACATTTGTGCAAAACTTTATATTCCGACATGTTGCCAATTGATTCTCGTACAAGGCTCCGTGTTTGCCAGAGAGCTGCAACGCTGCCCGCAGCGCGGGAGGGTTTGACGCAGGTGTGTCTGCCCTGCAAGAGAACAGACAGTAAAAGCAATAAGCGGCGTTACCCGGGCATGCAGTCCCCGCACAAGGTGTCCGCCGCGGCTGTTCCAGGGCTGGCATGGACCCTCCTCTTGGCTTCGCAGTGGGTGTGCAGTAAGCAGAATTCCAGCCCATAGCTGGGAGAGAAGGTTCCCGCAGAGCAAGCCTTGCAAATCATCCCCAGTCCTTTCCCATAGCCACATGTCTAGGGTGGGAAATCAAACAAAAAGCAGAGTTAAGATGCCACAAGCTCAACCAGGCAGGGGGTGCAGTTCCTTATGCCTCACTTCCCTTCCAGCTATTGGACTGACATCCGCCGCTGGAATGTGGCGGAATCTTCACGGAAAATCCCAACACTCGTGAGGCGGGTGAGAGGGTTCCCTATTAAAAGGCTGGATTCTGGGCTTGAACGTTGCAAATATAATAATAATAATAATAATAATAATAATAATAATAATAATAATAATAATGTTGTGCTCCCTTTAGAAATTTGGTCTGGCTGAAAAGTAAGGTGAGATACATACTAGATTTGGGGAGGGGGCTAGATAGCTTGGCTGGTTTCTGATCCATTCTGATATAATAATAATAATAATAATAATAATAATAATAATAATAATAATTTTATTTATACCCCGCCCTCCCCGGCCGGGCTCAGGGCAGCTAACACCAATAAAATCACAGTAAAAACATAATGGGGGGGGGAACAATTTAAAATACAGGTTAAAATACAATTTAAAATGCAGCCTCATTTTAATAGTAGCCCATAGATCAAAACCATAAGGGGAGGGAAACATAAGTTTATTATTCCAAAAACAAAACCTTCCTCTGGTTGTAAATATTAAGATTATAACAGCAAGAATGAGTCTTTCTGTAAAAAAAAATAATAAAAATAAATAAATCCAGTCTTACTGACTAGTGATTTAAATCAATTTGATTTAAATCAAATCCACCCTGCTTAAAAGGGACTGCAACCATCGGGAAGAAAAATAAGCAGCAGTTAATATAGTAGGCCCTGTTTATAGAAAGGCACATTGCTCAATGGCTGTCTTGTTTACAGAACACAGCTGCCTGGAGTTAGGAGAAAACAGTGCTAACGCGACGGCAATTTGGAAGCGAACGCTTAAAAAGAACAGCCACAAAAATGTGGCCCAGCATGCTTCGCCTTTTCAGCTTTGAGGAGCTCCCTGTTCTGAGAACAAAATGCATGCTGCAACATAAAAAGAAAACTAAAAATTGCGAGTGTAAAACCTTCAGGCTGTAGCTTTGTCAGACACATCTAATTGCCCGTGGTTAGGGCATAGACAGACAAGAATGCTAGAATACTACAGTTTCTCATTCTGCATCCAAAACCAAAAGAGGAACATTTTCTAAATCAAGCCATTTCCCTCTATGAACCTGACACTGCTTTATTATTATTATTATTATTATTATTATTATTATTATTATTATTTAATGTGAATGCATGTTGAGGCAGCGGCATATTTTGTGAATGGAAGCCTTCTCTTGCCATTAATAAATGTTGTTGCTGATTCGGTGCTGAACTGTGCTGCCTGCAGAAATGACGCAAATAATTGCATAATTTAGGGGAAATATAATTCAGCAACCCCTTTCATTTTGGAAACACCAGTAGGCTTTGCCACAAGGTTCCCCCTCCCCGCAAGAGCAGCACCAAGTATCTCCAAGAGTAGATTCAGGTCCATAGGGACTAGAAACTTTGATTTTAAATAATGGATGAAAAACGAAAGCATCCACTTAGCACCGATGCAGCTGGGCTGCAGAGGCCAGGCATTCGGAAACATCTCAGGTAGGTTTGCTTACCCTGTCTGGCTCCTCTCCCGGAGGACAACCTTCGCAAGGGACACAGTAGCCTTTGGAACTCCAGTACTCTTGACTGCCACATGCTTGTGCCTGATGACAGAAGAAGGCCTGAAAAAAGCAAAAGGGAGAGAATTTGGCACTCTGACGTCGCTGTTCAGATATTATATATATATATATATATATATATATATATATATATATATACACACACACACACACACACACACACACACACATACATTTTCAACTTAATGGAATCATAGAATTGTAGCGTTGGAAGGGACCCCAAGGCTCATCTAGTCCAACCCCCTCCAAAGCAGAAACTGCAAACTAAACAATCCCTGACAGGTAGCCATCCAATCTCTGTTTAAAAATCTACAATGAAGGAGAATTGACTGCCTCCCTATGCTACTACTGCTGACTGTGTTTTGTTAGCCACAAAATGAAAAATGAGTGAGGTCCCAACCAGAGAAGAACGGCAACTTAAGCTGATGGAATATGTGCAGCTTGCAGACTTAACATATGGTTACCAGATTTTTTTCAATGAATCCGGGGACACTTTTTTTTAAAGCTGAGTAGCAACAGGGAGTTAGTACAGTGGTGCCTCGCAAGACGAAATTAATCCGTTCCGCGAGTTCTTCGTCTTGCGGTTTTTTCGTCTTGCGAAGCACGGCTATTAGCGGCTTAGCGGCTATTAGCGGCTTAGCGGCTATTAACGGCTTAGCGGCTATTAACGGCTTAGCGGCTTTAAGAAAAAGGAAACAAACTCGCAAGAACTCGCAAGACGTTTCGTCTTGCGAAGCAAGCCCATAGGGAAATTCGTCTTGCGGAACGACTCAAAAAACGGAAAACCCTTTCGTCTAGCGAGTTTTTCGTCTTGCGAGGCATTCGTCTTGCGGGGCACCACTGTGGTGGGGATGCTGAGGCAGAAGACCCTGGGCCCATGCACACATGCATATTGTATAAAGGTGCAAAGCCCTTCTTTCGCACCCTGTGAAACATAAATGTGCAGAGTTTTTTTTAACTGGGCAATGGCGCGCCTGAGCCTTCCCAGATCTCCTTCCCCCTTCCCCCTTTGTTTTGACAGATCAGGGGAGGCTTGGGAGTCATGGGTGGGCGGCCGTTGCCCAGGAGGGGCCAGCCTGGTAGTGCAGTTGGCCTCTGGCTGGCTTCAGGAGCTGCTTGCTGCTGTGGCGCAGGAAAAATCGTGGGCACCACGGCAGCGGGCAGCTCCTGAAGCCAGCCAGAGCCAACTGTGCTACCAGGCTGGCTCTGGGCTGCTGAGGCTGCCGCTGCCACGATTCCCAGGGACAGATTTGCAAATCTGGGGACTGCCCCCGGGAACCAGGGATGACTGGTAACCCTAAAAATCTGGTAACCATATGATGACTGGTAACCCTAACTTGACATATAGAATAAGAGAACAAGAAGAACATGCGTTTAGAGAAGATTGGGAAACGTTTATTGAATATATGGGGAGGAAATTATGTACACCTGAAAACGTGGGCAGCATTAAGATAAATTAAACAGTTTACCGTGTTTTTTGCTCTATAAGACGCACCTGACCATAAGACGCACCTAGTTTTTAGAGAAGGAAAACAAGAAACAAGAAAGCAACGCAAAGCCTCTTGAGTGAAGAGGCAGGAGCACTCCGGCTGCACTCAAGAGGCTTTGCGTGGCTTTCCCTGAAGCCAGAAGAGCAAGAGGCAATGATGCGCACCGATCCCTCTTGCTCTTCTGGCTTCAGCGATAGCTGCGCAGCCTGCATTCGCTCCATAAGACGCACACACATTTCCCCATACTTTTTAGGAGGAAAAAAGTGCGTCATAGAGCGAAAAATACGGTAAATATGTTTTGATGGATGCAATAATGAAATACTGAATGGTTTAGTTTGTGTAAAATACGCAGGGATTTATGATATGCAAAATGAACCATGGAAAGAGAAGAAGGGAAGTCATTGACATTTTGAGGTTGTTTAAATGAAAGTTCTAAAGTGTAAAACAGAAAATTTAATAAAAATAATACACACACAAAAAATATATCTTGAAATGGAAGCCATTCTGATGGTGTTGAGAGAGAGAATTCACCGCCTCCCGAGGGAGCCCGTTTCACAGTTGAAGAACTCCTAAAAGGCACACCATGACCTCCTCAAAGAATGAGAAGCTCCAGAGTCTGTTTGCATGCAATGAAATCGTCAGAAGTCGACAACGGCTGTGATCGTGTGTTTTTATAAATATCTGCTGCAAGCAGATGGAAGAAAGTTCCTGGAGGTGATGCAAAATGACTGGGATTTTTCTTTCCCTTGCAAAGCTGGATTTTGCTTCCTGAAATGATGGACTAGATGCCTGCTCTCCCTAGTCCCCAATTCCATACACATCCAGACTGGTAGGTTTTTGTCCACACTGTAACCAGGACTGTGTCCCGCATGGTAAAGGTAAAGGGACCCCTGACCATTAGGTCCAGTCGTGGCTGACTCTGGGGTTGCGGCGCTCATCTTGCTTTATTGGCCGAGGGAAGCCGGCGTACAGTTTCCAGGTCATGTGACCAGCATGACTAAGCCACTTGGTGAACTAGAGCAGCACACGGAAACGCCATTCACCTTCCCGCCGGAGTGGTACCTATTTATCTACTTGCACTTTGACGTGCTTTCGAACTGCTAGGTTGGCAGGAGCAGGGACCGAGCAACGGGAGCTCACCCCATCGCGGGGATTCGAACCGCCGACCTTCAGATCGGCAAGTCCTAGGCTCTGTGGTTTAACCCACAGTGCCACCCGCGTCCCGCATGGTACCTGAGGGCAACTGCCCCCATCTTTCATTTGACGAGAGGCACGAGGAAAGTTCAAGGCAGGGAAACTTACAAAAAGGAAGAATTGGGAGCAGATGTTACAGAGCCAGATAACCGATGCCAGAACCTTCAGTTGCAATAAAAACATAAAATTACAACATAATGAAAAACAAAACCAGCCCATAAAGCAAACCGCAGCGAAAGGGCATCAGATAAACCACAGCATGCCGGGAAATAGAGAGTGAGCTTAGGGAGACTTTGTACGAACTGCTTGTTCGAGAAAGGATCTCTCCACACTGAGTACAGTGAAACTATGGAATTTGTTCCCAGGGATTAGACCGATTCAGGGAGGATAATGCTGTCTCTGCTGGAATATGAGATGCCCCATCTGAATTGGCATTCTGCCGGCTCTTAAAGATGCATTTGTTTAAGGCAAGCAGTCCCCGGATCTTCTGACCTGAACTTCCTGAGCTAGGTGTTTTCACTGCTGTTTTTAATTCTTATCCTCTTCTAATGACTCATCTCCACTGCACAATTTAATGACGGAGGCTTTCAACGTATGGACAGAATTGTTTTATTGTGCATTTTAATTAAGTCGGGTACATTTCTACAATTGGTTTTACACTCCTCCAATGAAGAAGTCCATCACTGCCCAAAGGAGACTGTTCCACTGTTGAACAGCTCTTACTCTTTAGTTGGAATCTCCTTTCTTGTAACACTCAAAGCCATGGGTTTGAGTCCTACCCTCCAGAACAGGAGGCAAAGTAAGAAGTATACAAGTAGATGAATTACTACTAAGGCTATCAATGGCTGCTACCATCACTGTTGGAGGCAGTAAGGCTCCAAATAATAGTTTCTGGGAACCACAAGTGATTTTCTTGGCCCACGGGCCAAGGACCATAGCAAGCATGGATTTGGGAATGGAGCATCATCAATGATCTCCACAAATTGCGGCTTCGCAGATCATGAAAGTAAACTTTTCATCCCTCTGACTCAGAAAAAAAAAACACAACACCACGAAACCAAAACAAGACCCAGAAATGCAGCAGTGGCACAAAAAACAGACGCCCATTCTGCTGACTTTTCCAGGTTTCGTGGACGCAATGTCTGAAGTATTTGGAGGAGGAGAAATTGGCAATCGGGGATTGCCTTGCATGGGGTTGGACTAGATGACCCTCGAGGTCCCTTTAACTCTAAAACTCTGGCTTTGAAGACGCTCAGCCTCAGGATGACAGGGAGAAACGTGCTAAGAGGAAGGCACGCTTGGCAAATCCACACTGTGATCAACTCCTGCCTGGAAACCAATGTCCCCACTGTGGAAGGACGTGTGGGTCCAGAATTGGCCTCCACAGTCACTTACGGACTCACTGCTAAAACCGTGTTCATGGAAGACAATCTTACTCGGCCACAAGGAATCGCCAAAGAAGAAGAAGTATGAGTCGCTGCTCTGTGCTAGCCTCCTTTCCAGATAGGAGGATAGGATGATACCTTTGGTAAAAGCTGTTCTCCAACTGGAGCGCTCGCAGGCCAGTGTTTCCCAGTTGTCGGTGTTTATACTGCATTTTTTGAGAGAGTCTTTAAACCTCTTTTGTTGACCACCAGCATTACGCTTTCCATTTTTAAGTTCGGAATAGCGTAGTTGCTTTGGAAGACGATCATCAGGCATCCGCACAACATGACCAGTCCAGCGAAGTTGATGTTGAAGAATCATTGCTTCGACACTGTTGATCTTTGCTTCTTCCAATATACAGAGCAGTGACTCATACAGAGAGGCATTAGCCACCCTCCTCTGGCACAGCACAAACTCCAGCTGCATCTCTGCTTCAGGGGTGATTAAATGCTCCACCACTCATACCCAAGACAGAGAAGGGGACCATTACCTGTCCTAAGGAAAGAGTCGAGGTCAAGAAATGCATTGAGTTGTAGACAAACACTTTGTCCTTCCAGGAGCTTCTCATGATTAATATTTGGAAGATTTATTGTAGCACCAGCAGTTCCTTCCTGACCCGTAAATGTTCTTTGGCACACAGTTTGGGCACGACAGGTCCCGATGGCAACCTTGAGGGAACCCAGGAAGACCCAACAGACAAGTCTCTTTGAAGCCATCAACGTCTTTGCACTTAAACCCCACTTGGGATTGGCCAGCTGGGCTTTGCTCTCGGCCCTCTTTCCCAAAATAGACTCCTGACTGAGGCGGGGGGGGGGGGCGGCGGGCAGGCCGTGTACGGGACCCCAGCCAACAAGGGGAAGTTTTCCAAGGGGAGGAAACAAAACCACAATGGGCAGGTCTGAACTGCAACCCACATTGCCACATGTTCTAAAATGCTGCCTGGGCACTCATTATGCCAGGGGGCTGCTCTGTCATCTTAAACTGGCGGTGAGTCAGTTCTTGCCAGCGCAGGCAGACCTCTAAGAGCTCTGAGAAACTCAGCCATCAGGAGAAGGGAGGTGGCCAAGATTGTCTGAATATCTGCAGAATGCGGGGGCCTTTAAGACCATCTAGTTCTCTCGCTTGGACTACTGCAATGCGCTCTGTGTGGGGCTACCTTTGAAGGTGACCCGGAAACTGCAACTAATCCAGACTGTCCTTGATTAATTAATAATAAATAATAATAATATATGCCTGTTGTCTTTGTCCATGGAGTTTTCTTGGCAAGGATACTGGAGTGGCTTGCCGGTTCCTCCTCCAGGTGGATCACGTTTGGTCGAAACTCTCCACTATGACCTGTTCATCTTGTGTGCCCTGCTCGGCGTAGTTCATAGCTTCTCTGACTATGCAAAAGCCTTTGACTGTGTCGACCACAGCAAACTATGGCAAGTTCTTAAAGAAATGGGAGTGCCTGATCACCTCATCTGTCCCCTGAGAAATCTCTATGTGGGACAAGAAGCTACAGTTAGAACTGGATATGGAACAACTCATTGGTTCAAAATTGGGAAAGGAGTACGACAAGGCTGTATTTTGTCTCCCTGCTTATTTAATTTATATGCAGAATACATCATGCGAAAGGCTGGGCTGGATGAATCCCAAGCTGGAATTAAGATTGCCGGAAGAAATATCAACAACCTCAGATATGCAGATGACACAACCTTGATGGCAGAAAGTGAGGAGGAATTAAAGAACCTTTTAATGAGGGTGAAAGAGGAGAGCGCAAAATATGGTCTGAAGCTCAACATCAAAAAAACGAAGATCATGGCCACTGGTCCCATCACCTCCTGGCAAATAGAAGGGGAAGAAATGGAGGCAGTGAGAGATTTTACTTTCTTGGGCTCTATGATCACTGCAGATGGTGACAGCAGCCACGAAATTAAAAGACGCCTCCTTCTTGGGAGAAGGGCAATGACAGGCCTAGACAGCATCTTGAGAAGCAGAGACGTCACCTTGCCAACAAAGGTCCGTATAGTTAAAGCCATGGTTTTCCCAGTAGTGATGTATGGAAGTGAGAGCTGGACCATAAAGAAGGCTGATCGCCGAAGAATTGATGCTTTTGAATTATGGTGCTGGAGAAGACTCTTGAGAGTCCCATGGACTGCAAGAAGATCAAACGCATCCATTCTGAAGGAAATCAGCCCTGAGTGCTCACTGGAAGGACAGATCGTGAAGTTGAGGCTCCAGTACTTTGGCCACCTCATGAGAAGAGAAGACTCCCTGGAGAAGACAATGATGCTGGGAAAGATGGAGGGCACAAGGAGAAGGGGGCGACAGAGGACGAGATGGTTGGATAGTGTTTTCGAGGTTACCAGCATGAGTCTGACCAAACTGCGGGAAGTAGTGGAGGACAGAGGTGCCTGGCGTGCTCTGGTCCATGGGGTCACGAAGAGTCGGACACGACTAAACGACTAAACAACAACAACAATAATAATATATTATACCCCGCCCATCTGGCTGGGCTTCCCCAGCCACTCTGGGCGGCTACCAACAAAATATTAAAATACAGTAAAGCATCAAACATTAAAAGCTTCCCTAAAGAGGGCTGCCTTCAGATGTCTTCTAAAAGTCAGACAGTTGTTTATTTCCTTGACATCTGGTGGGAGGGCGTTCCACATGGTGGGCGCCACCACCAAGAAGGCCCTCTGCCTGGTTCCCTGTAGCCTTACTTCTCGCAGGGAGGGAACCGCCAGAAGGCCCTCGGAGCTGGACCTCAGTGTCTGAGTAGAACGATGGGGGTGGAGACGCTCCTTCAGGTCCACTGGGCCTTTGAGGCCGTTTAGGGCTTTCAAGGTCAGCACCAACACTTTGAATTGTGCTCGGAAATGTCCTGGGAGCCAATGTAGGTCTTTGAACAGTAAAGAGCCAGTAAGATGCCTGGTAGGTTGGTAAGCGGCTCCTCGCTTGGCTGATGTGGATTTTATCCACAGTCAGGGAATCTTTGATTCCCTCCTCCCTCTGCCAGTAGACCATCACATCCTCAGGCTTACTACCAATCTGGGTGTGTACATAAGGAAGGGGAATATTTGCAAAGCAGTGGAGGCAGAGATTGCCGGTGGAAACACTGTTGGGACCACTTTTCCCGCACGGTGCGAGAGGCAACCAAGTCAAGTCACGCAGGAAAAATCGCACTTACCATCAGGAGGCTGAGGGCTGAGCAGAAATTCAGGGTCCTCTTCATCTTGAGGGGTTCGGTTTCAAAGCAGCCGCAAAACGAAGCTGTCGGGGGGCAGAGAACAGAGAGTTTACTGACAGAGGCCCAACCTTTTATACTCTCCTCCGAACAGGCTGTGGTCCCAGCTCCCTTGAATGAGCTGTGTTTACTTCCATCCCCCATACAGCTCTGTTTACCCCTGCAAATTACAGTCAATTGCACAGGAAACTTATCAGCTGTGATTTAAACTAAAGAGAAGGAAACGGGAAATGTACAGGCTTCCTCCCGCGGTGGGAGTCAAAAACGCTTCCCCTCTTTGGTTTATTTATGTGGGTTCAGGTGCTTTTGAAGTCATTCAGTGCCTCAGAGCCTTCCAGTTCTGAAGGAAAGCTTCTCTGCCAAAATGCCAATTGCAAGAGAAGAGATGTGCTGGATCAGACCAAAAAAGCCCGACGGGTCCAACATCCTGTTTCTCACAGGGGTAAACCAGATGTCTAAGGGATAGCCTGCGATCAGGACTTGGGCGCAACAATGCGCACTTGGGATGCCCAGCCGCTGGAATTCAAGGGAATAAAGGGAAAAGTAAATGGAAAACTTTAAAACTTTGATACAATAAGGTTGTTGCAGCCATTGATTAGCTTTACCTCTGCAGACCGCCCCCCCCCCGCTTCATAGAAATAGAGGGGGAAGAGAAAGTAGACAATCAACCATAAACCATGGTTTGCTTAATATACATTTGTAACCACGGTCCAAACCAAGGTTTTGTGTGATGCCTGAACCAGGTTAGAGCACTGTAGCGGTTAGAGTGTTGGTCTAGGACCTGAGAGGTAAAGGTAAAGGGCCCCTGACCATTAGGTCCAGTTGTGGCCGACTCTGGGGTTGCGGCGCTCATCTCACTTTATTGGCCAAGGGAGCCGGCGTACAGCTTCCGGTTCATGTGGCCAGCATGACTAAGCCGCGTCTGGTGAACCAGAGCAGCGCACGAAAATGCTGTTTAACTTCCCGCTGGAGTGGTACCTATTTATCTGCTTGTACTTTTTGGCGTGCTTTCGAAATGCTAGGTTGGCAGGAGCAGGGACCGAGCAACGGGAGCTCACCCCGTCACGGGGATTCAAACCGCCAACCTTCTGATCGGCAAGTCCTAGGCTCTGTGGTTTAACCCACAGCGCCACCCGCGTCCCAGTATTCAAAGGAATAGTGCCTGCAATATTGGGAGGTACTGCAAGGCCATCGTGGCCCAATCCTCAACGAGGCTTCTGGCCTGCTTCTGCTTTCAAGTGGGATTCGTCAAGTTGCACATTCAAGTTGTGCAATGGTTCGTGGGGGAGGGCTTGCATTTCCTCCCCAAAAGGTCAGACTTTTTTTTAGATCAGGAAAGTAACAGAGAATTGCACAGGAAAGCATGGGATTAACGCTTGCGTTGTCACATCATCTAACCTCCCTGCAAACATCATCTAATCTCCATGCAAGCAAATTGAGTGCTCCATAGATGGGGTCTCTGGAAGCAGCCTTTGTCTAAGCCAGGGGTGGGGGGCCTTGTTCTCCCCAAATGTGGCTGAAATACAATCTTCATCGCCCCTGGCCATTGGCCATGCTTGCTGGGGCTGTTGGGAGTTGTAGTTCAGAAGCATCTGGAGAACCAAAGGGTCCCCACACTGGGCCCAATCCTTTTATAAAGCCATCCAAGTTGGTGACAATAATAATAATAATAATAATTTTATTATCTATACCCTGCCCATCTGGCTGGGTTTCCCCAGCCACTCTGGGTGGCTCCCAACAGAATATTATAAACACGATAAAACCATTAAAAACTTCCCTAAACAGGGCTGCCTTCAGACGTCTTCTAAAAGTCTGATACAGTGGTACCTTGGGTTACAGACGCTTCAGGTTACAGACTCTGCCAACCCAGAAATAGTACCTCGGGTTAAGAACTTTGCTTCAGGATGAGGACAGAAATTGCATGGCAGCAGCAGGAGGCCCCATTAGCTAAAGTGGTACCTCAGGTTAAGAACAGTTTCAGGTTAAGAACAGACCTCCGGAACAAATTAAGTTCTTAACCCGAGGTACCACTGTAGTTGTTTACTTCCGTGCCACTACCAAGAAGGCCCTCTGCCTGGTTCCCTGTAACCTCACTTCTCGCGTTGAAGGAACCGCCAGAAGGCCCTCGGAGCTGGACCTCAGTGTCCGGGCAGAACAATGGGGGTTGAGATGCTCCTTCAGGTATACTGGACCGAGGTCGTTTAGGACATATGATGGGAGGGGGTTCCACAGGGCAAGCGCCACCACTGAGAAGGCCCTCGGAGTTGGACCTCAGTGTCTGGGCTGAACGATTGGGGTGGAGACACTCCTTCAGGTCTACTGGGCCAAGGCCGTTTAGGGCTTTCAAGGTCAGCACCCACACTTTGAATTGTGCTCAGAAATGTACTGGGAGCCAATGTAGGTCTTTCAGGACCACCATCGCTTCTTGAGGACCAAATCCCCGAATTCTACCCTGTGCTGCATGAACCAGTTTTTCCTTTGGTGGGTCCTGAATCTTCCAACATTTACGCTTGTTGGATGACCCCACCGAGTTTTATGAGAGAGGGAGGGAAATCATAGAATCAGAGTTGGACGTGACCCCTGTGGTCATCTAGTCCAGCCCCCTGCAATGCAGGAATCTCAACTAAAGAATCCATGACCAATGGCCATCCAACCTCTGCTTAATGAGAGCCAGTGTGGTGTAGTGGTTACGAGCGGTAGTCTCGTAATCTGGGGAACCGGGTTCGCGTCTCCGCTCCTCCACATGCAGCTGCTGGGTGACCTTGGGCCAGTCACACTTCTCTGAAGTCTCTCAGCCCCATTCACCTCACAGAGTGTTTGTTGTGATGGAGGAAGGGAAAGGAGAATGCTGGCCGCTTTGAGACTCCTGAAAGGGAGTGAAAGGTGGGATATCAAATCCAAACTCTTCTTCTTCTTCTTCTTAAAAACCTCCAAGGATGGAGAGTCTACAACCACCCGAGGGAGACCATTCCTATCATCTTCAAGGCTGCAGAAATGAGCTTCAATGCCCGGGAAAAAAATTGGACGGATAAGGTTTGCATTTGATTTCGCTAGTATGGCTTCGGTGCTTTGCAGTCCCCGGCCTTCCCCTACAGAGTAGCAGAAAATCCTGTTTAAGCAAACGCATGCAAACCCGCCTAATTTGCACTTCCTCCACGGATCACAGAAGGCAGCTTTTTCCTGGTGCAAAATGCGCAGAATGGCTGGTGTGAACACTCAAAGGGCACCAAGCTGGCAAAAAAAATATCTATCCAAGTTTCTAAAAGCAAGGCTGAAAGTAGGACTTAGCAAGTCTCAAAGGGTTGACGGATTCCCTCTGGGGAACAGCGAGTTCCCATTATAGCGCCACTGGCAGGCTCTCCAGCTTCCTCAAGACAGCCAAACTCCCTAAAGTCACCTCCAAAATAATTGCACACGAAGCTCTCGGAAACCGTCCGCCGGCGCCGCGTCTGAAAAGAACTTTGCGCCATTAAAAGCGACCTCGGCCAACCCAGCGGCTGTGAAGAACGATCCACGGGAGGCTAATTGGGCCGAAAGGAGCCCACAATGAAATGACCGCGCATTCATTTAATTTGATCGATTGGCTCCCCTGGAGGAACAGCCTTCCCCTTCACATCTGGCACACTTTGAGCTCGCCCAGAGAAGGCTCTGGATGCCAGGAGGCCCTGGCACCGCCTGGAGTTGCAGCCTGGGAACAGGGCCAGGAGCTGAGGTCGGGAACAGGGGCCGGCTTGGCTGTTATACAGACTGAACGCTTGTCCCAAGTGCCGGCTATTGGACACACTTCAGGCAGGAGGATGGCCAAGGATGGTGTCAAACGGCTCAAGTGTTGAGTCGTGAGGTTACAGCTTGTACCGAGGATGGAAAGTAGGTTTGTCTGGAGTAGGGAAGGTGCATACCCTCCAACATTTCTCCGATGAAAATAGGGATTTTCTTTTACTGTATTATTATTATTATTATTATTATTATTATTATTATTATTATCCCCTTCCCATGCGACTGGGTTGCCCCAGCCGCTCTGGGCAGCTTCCAACATATATAAAAACATAATAAAACATTAAAAAACTTCCCTAAACCGGGCTGCCTTCAGAGGTCTTGTAAAGGTTGCATAGTCACTTATCTCCTTGGCTCGGGGTTGCATAACTCCATACCCTTCAACGTTTCTCCAATGAAAATAAAATAATAATAATAATTCATTTATACCCCACCCATCTGGCTGGGTTTCCCCAGCCACTCTGGGTGGCTCCCAACAGAATATTAAAAACACGATCAAACATCAAACATTTAAAACTTCCCTAAGGGCTGCCATCAGGTGTCTTCTAAAAGTCAGATAGTTGTTTATTTCCTTGACATTTGATGGGAGAGCATTCCACGGGGCGGGTGCCACCACCAAGAAGGCCCTCTGCCTGGTTTCCTATAACCTCACTTCTCGCAATGAGGGAACCATCAGAAGGCCCTCGGAGCTGGACCTCAGTGTCCGCACTGGACGATGGGGGAGGAGACGCTCCTTCAGGTATAGGGACGTCTTAAGGAAAAGCGGGACATTCCCAGATCAAATTGGAAACCGGGACGGCTTCTGTAAATCCAGGGCCGTCCGTGGAAAATAGAGACACTTGGAGGGTCTGCCATTTTTGCACCTTTCTTGGGTGTTTTTTCACCTGGCTGGAATGGGGTCTTGAGCTCTGCTAATGTCTCTCACTTGCCTGGCCAGGGAATAGAGAGCAGCGGGTGAGAGGCTGTGTAGAAATGAGTCAGTGGCAGACTCTGGGGTCTCAAATTTCAGCGGCGCCCCGTGCGCCACCGAAATCCAGCATCCGCTTGCCTCTCAAATAATATTTGCAACGTCCCCCAAGGCTCTGCGTTCAGCACAACCAAACCGATCATGCTCCCCTAAATCTGCTTCTGCTGGATGGCAGCAGTTTGGAAAAGAGGATACCAAGAGGAGTTATGATTTGTTGTTGTTTAGTCATTTAGTCGTGTCCGCCTCTTCGTGACCCCCTGGACCAGAGCACGCCAGGCACTCCTGTCTTCCACTGCCTCCTGCAGTTTGGTCAGA